TGATTTTAGATTTTGAGATTCGTTTGGGCCTACAGGGGGTTGATGGCTTTTATTTCAGGTTGCGTGAGGTGGAGGAGTTAATTCGAACTTCGCTGATTTGAAGGCAATAGACAAGACTATACACTATAGACTTTAATTCGAGATTGTACGGTTACAATATAGTTCATCGATCGTGCGAGTTCGAACTAAATAGAAACAAATAAACTATACTAAGTATAAGCCTAAATTTAACTATAAAATTAATATGTAGAGAATATATCGTGACAATAGGATCTGTTCAATACTTCGGTACAAATAATCAAGTTCAACAAGAAAATAAGTCATAATCTATCTTACTTTGGTTTCCTCTCTACTTCTTTTCGTTGATTTTGGCCAAATTTCAATTCCAATAAGGTTTTCCTTTCTACTTTAGATTTAGTGTTCTTTCTCTCAGATCTAATCGCTTTTCGTTTATGATTAATTAAGTTCTGTGCCCAAGGGCTAATAGCGCGTATTATCTAGTATCGAATTTCAAACTAACATTCCGGCCCCTTAAAGGCGGAGTATACTAGAGCCTTTACCAAATAACAGAGAAATGTTTGAAACGTTAAGACATATATATTAACTATAGCTAAAATGTATATAAAGTTCTACTCAGCTCTGTGAGAGTTCTTCCTTTAGTCCTTCTTCTCTTCTGCTGCAGCTTCCAACAGCACGATCTTGTTGATTGGTCTTTCCAATGATGATGTGCTTGTTTTCACTTTAACGCTTCGCACGTTATTGTCCCTCGAGTTTCGGTACACTTCGATGATTCGGGCTAGAGGCCAGGAGCTGCGGGAGCAGTTTTCTTGGAGAACCAAGACGATGTCGCCGACTTCGAAATTTCTTCGCTCTTTGTTCCACTTAACTCGTTGTTGTAGTGAAGGGAGGTATTCCTTGAGCCAACGGCGCCAGAACACATCAGCGAGATACTGGACTTGACGCCATCTTTTTCTCGTGTATAGGTCTTCCTTCTCGAATCTACCGGGCGGGAGTGTCGACCCGGCTCGTAGCAGGAGAATGTGGTTTGGGGTTAATGCTTCGCAATCTCTTGAATCGTCCGATACCTTCGTGATGGGCCGGCCATTGATGATTGCTTCCACTTCACACATCAGGGTTAGCAAACCTTCGTCGTCTAGGACTTGTTCCTTCAGTAGGGCGTTCATCACCTTTCTTACCGTTCGTATGCAGCGTTCCCAAACGCCGCCATGATGGGATGCTGCTGGTGGGTTGAAGATCCATTTGATCTCTTTCTGTAGTAAAAATTCATTAATTTTTTGTTGGTTCCAATCTTTAATGCAGCGACGAAGTTCCTTTTCTCCACTGACAAAGTTTCCGCCATTATCGGATCGCATTTCTGCTGGAGTACCCCTTCTCGCTATAAATCTTCTCATGGCGTTGATGAATGAGTCGGTGTCGAGGCTTGAAGCCACTTCTATGTGGATGGCTCGGATGGACAGACAAGTGAAAATGACGCCATACCTTTTCACTTGACTTCTTCCTCGTCGCACGTTGAATGGCCCAAAACAGTCTACACCGGTGAAGGTGAAGGGAGGTTGACAAGGTGTAACACGGCTTTCGGGTAGATCTGCCATTCTTTGCTCTCCAACTGGAGATTGTCTTCGTCTGCAGTCAAAACAATCATTCAAGCATTTACGAACGAGTGCTCTTGCCTTGACTATCCAATATTTCTGTCGTAATGTAGACAATACGTATTCAATTCCTGAATGACCTGATAGCTGGTGGTAATGTAGGACAATCAGCTTCGCCACATGATGTTTCTGGGGAAGGATTACAGGGTGCTTGGCATCGTTCTGGATAGGTGCGTGGTTTAACCGTCCTCCGACGCAAAGCAGACCGTTCACCATCGTTGGGTTCAATTTATAAATTGAGCTTGACTTCTTCGGATTCGACTTTGCTGTTGTGCTTGATTCACTGCTGGGATTGCTTGGTTTCTGTCTTTCGAGCAAGTTTATCTCGCTTTGGAAACGCTTACGTTGTGCTATTCCAAGGATCACCTTCTCTGCATGATTTAGTTCGTCCAAACTAATTGGGTTGGTCTCCTTTCTTTGGTCACCAGGTTGTGTCGTTTCGCCATTCTTGCGTCGCTTCGCCGCTTCTTGAAGACGGCGTTTGCAACGTATCAACCATGCGACAGCTTTCCTCAATCCCTTCCAAGTAGAGAACTTCTCGAAGCGCCGTGACATGGAGTTGATGCTGTCATTCTCGTCAGTAGCTGTAGACAAGGCGGTAGCTTCTCTCTTCAACTCGGGGTCATTATCCAAATTCTCAGGAATTGGTTGATGTTGGCTTCGCCATTGTTCGTCTGGTTGCCACAGAAACTCTGGGCCTCTCAACCATCTTTCGCTCGTTACAATTTCTTCAGCTGTCAGACCTCGTGAGGAATCGTCTGCAGGGTTTAGTTTGGTGTTAACATATCTCCATTGAGTTGGTTCGGATGCGTCGTGGATCTTCGAAATTCTATTTGCGACGAAAGTCTGGAATCTTCGGCTTTCGTTTCTTATGTAGCTTAGGACGCATGTGCTGTCTGTCCAAAATATGGATTCCTCAACCGGGATATCTAGCTCTTGGCGCATCATCTTGTCCAATCTAGTCGCCACAACGGCCGCAGAAAGTTCCAATCTTGGAATTGAGATCGCCTTCAATGGTGCTAGTCTGGATTTTCCGATCAGGAAACAGCAGTGGACCTTCCCCTTTAGATTGACCATTCTAAGATATGACACCGCGCCATAGCCTTGCTGAGATGCGTCAGAGAAATGGTGGATCTGGCTATAAGCAATTTCTCCAAAATATGCTGGTTTAAAGCAACGATCAACGACGAATTCTTCAAGCTTCGGTAGCATTGCGAGCCAACTCTGCCAGCGTTGTAAAGCCTCCTCGGGAATTTGGTCGTCCCAGCCTAGCTTGCTGCGACACAAATCTTGCAATAGGATTTTTGCCACCAAAATGAAGGGAGCCAGGAATCCTAGGGGGTCGTAGATGGAGCTGACTATGGATAATAGTCCCCTTCTCGTTGCTGGTCTTTCTTTGATGATGATCTTGTATCCAAACGTGTCAGAGGTAACATTCCAGCGGACTCCGAGGGCTCTCTCTATGGGTGAGTTGGATAAATCAAGGTTTTTCACTGATGCTGCTCTTTCTGTTTCTGGTAGAGACTTAAGGACTTTCTGGGAGTTGGATGTCCATTTGGTGAGTCGGAAACCACCTTTCGATAGGAGTTGACGAAGATCTTCTACGAGCGGAATGGCTATTTCATCGGATTCTACGGATTTCAGGCAGTCATCAACATAAAAATCTCTTTGTACGGTGGTAACTGCAAGAGGACTGAAATCGTCTTTGTTTTCTTCAGCAGTTTTCTTTAGAGCAAAGTTTGCACAACTCGGAGAGGAAATGCTACCAAAGAGATGCACCATCATTTGGTATTCTTCAGGAATGGCGGTTGTATCTCCATTCGGCCACCACAGAAATCTTAGGGAGTCGCAATCGTCCACCGGGACTCGAACTTGGTGGAACATGGCTTCAACGTCGGCCATAAACGCGGTGGGACCCTGTCGGAATCTTGTTAGGACGCCTGTCAGGGAGTTGGTGAGATCCGGCCCCTGTAAGAGCTGGTCGTTTAAGGAGGTGCCTTGACATTTTGCGGAGCAGTCGAACACGACTCGGGTCTTATCAGGCTTTTGCGGGTGGAAAACCGGGTGGTGCGGTAAGTACCAGGTCTTTCTGCTGTTCTGTAGTCGTTCGGTTGGAACCTTTCTGGCATAACCCTTCTTTAAAAGATCGTCGATGAATTCGGAGTATTTTGTACTTAGAGATTCGTCTTTATCCAATCTTTTCTTTAAGAGTTCGAGTCGACGTTCTGCGATGAGTCTGTTATTTGGCATGTCTGGTGAAGCTTGCTTCCAGGGCAACGCGATTTCGTAATGCCCGTTCTCTAACTTGGCGGAGCTGTTCATGATCTTCAAGGCTTGTTGATCGTCTCGCGAGAAACTTGGTACGTTGCTTTTATTGATGTCGTTGAACTCTATGTTACAGTAGTTTCGGAACTGTTCGTCAAGACTGAAGTCTTCTTTGCTGATAAAGTTTGCTGTGCTTGGAATTGTACTGGATTTCCCAAGTGGGCCATTGATGACCCAACCAAATATCGTCTTTGTTGCATACGGGCTGCCGTCTTGACTGCTTCGAATTTCTTTCGGTTCCAGTACTTCGGGTGCATCACTGCCAATTAACAAACCAACCTCCGCGTCTATTTGATCTAACTGGATATTTGAGAGATGTGGCCACTGCCTGATGTCTTGTTGGGAGGCACGATTTCTTGTTGTCACGGGCAGTACTGGTGTGGAAAATACCGTTTTTAGGGAGACATGGTTTTCATCTTGTAAGTCAGAAAGTTCCAGGCTTACGATAGAGCTTTCGGTCTTGCTGTTAGCTTTCCCCAGAGTTGTCAAGGTAAGGTTTGTTCTTTTTCCTTCGATGTTTAGCTGTCTCATTAGGTTTTCCGAACAAAATGAGGTATTGGAACCTCCGTCGAGAAACGCGTACGTCTGAACGATTCTTTCGCTTCCGGCTGCTCTAACTTTCACTGGTACAATTGCCAAGCCAATTGTTGTAGAGTTATTTGAGGTTGTTTTGCTTTGGTGCTTGGCTGATTTGATATAACCACTCTGCGCCTTTGTCTCGGATTTCGATTCGGTGTTGTCTTTGTCGGGCTCTTCGTTTTCGTTCCCTTTCGGTCGCGTTAATTTCTTGTCGCTCGAGCTTTCGTGGAGAAACGTGGAGTGAACTTCCTTGCAATCTTGTACTTTACAAAAGCTTTTCTTTGGGCAATTTCTTGCAAGGTGGCCACGTGTTAGACAGTTATCGCAAAGTCCCCTTTTTCGTACCAGGTTAAATCTGTCGATTAAGGACATGGTTCTGAACTGTGTACACTGGGAGAGCCAGTGGTTAGCATCACATTGAGGACACTTGATAGTTGGTCGCGCATATTGGTCTGCAGAGTTCTGTTTGCCGTCAACTGCGAAGTTACTTCTTGGTTTGTTTTCACCTCTACGTCTTAGGTGGTTCTGTTCGTCTCTTCCTTTCAACTCTTTGGAATCTCCATTCAGATCACCGAAAATTGGATGAGCAGCGGCTCTTGCAACCTTTGCGACAAAAGTGGATATGTCGTCGATTGTAATTTCTCTCTCTTGGTTCTCCGTGATGTTGTCAGCCACGTCTCGCCATTTTCGTCGTAGTGCATATGGTAGCCGGTTAACGATCTTTCTCAGGCTCTCTGGGTTTTCTATTTTGCTAAGGTAGCCAATATCCTTCAGAGCATTTTTACAGCTTGTCAAGAGAATCGAGAATTTCTGGAGGGAGTTTGCATCTTCGGATTTTATGGAAGGACCATTGGTCACTCGGTCTACATACGCCGAGGCGATCTTGTACTTCTGACCGTACTTCTGCTTTAACGCCTTTCGTGCTTCGACATAGCCGTCAGGTCCATTCATTGACAAGCAGCTCTTCATCAATTCGCGAGCGTCACCAGCTGTGTACTGTACAAGGTAGTACAATCTTGCACTGTCGCTGTCGGTCTTCAGCTCGATGAGTGTTTCGAAAGCGCGGATAAAGTTTTGAAACTCGATTGGGTCTCCGTCAAAGGTGGGAATTTCAGGTTGAGGTAACATCAGTGCCAGAGTGTGGCGCTGTTGTTGCAATAACAACTGTTCTATCGGACTTGCTGTGGCTCCGCGATTCGTTTCCAAGTTCTTTGTCTCTTTATCTGCGCCTGGGAACGATAACACGTTTTCGTTTCTCTTCTGTAGGTGTAGATGTGGAGGGACTGGGTGGTCTTGTGGTATTTTCGCTTCGAGAGTGGACGGGTGTGTAACGCTCACCTTTTCTGTATATGTGTCATTAGACTGTTTTTGGAAGGCGGTGGTATAGTGCTTTCTGTTGCTATTTATTGTTGACTTTAGCAATGGAACCTGTTTGGAAAACGAACTTGTTTCCGATTTATCACGCTTCGAGAAACTAACGTCACTTTTCTTATCAGCTTCTAAATATGCTCGTTCTTCTGCTTGTGCCTTTGCCAATTCAGTTTCTAGATCTAGTTGATCTGCCTTTTGTTGAAGACGCAATTGTTCTTCTTGTAGAGCTTGTCGTTTTGCAAGTGAGGCTGATTGTGCTTCCAAAATGGCCTTCTTGGCTGATGCTCTTGCTCTTGAAACCGAGACTGACGAGTTAGAACTTCGTTTTGATAATTTGGACATGCTGGTCACCTGACTCTCCGAACCAGCACGTGACCCTGCGTTGCTAACAGAATCTTCTGGTCGTATGTCGAGCTCTACGTTATCTTGCTTCCAAAGACAAAGTTTCTGCGTAGCTCGTTCTTTCAAGTCAGAAAATCTTTCTATAACGGCTTCATAGTAATCGTTTGACTCTAAAATGTCATCTTCGTCCTGTAGATTGTCATGGAATGCATCATGAGCAGTTCGAAATTTCTCTAGGGCTTTGTGCATTTCTGAAAGCTTTTTCTCCAGTTCTGACGAGTTATCAGTTTTTGAAAATATGTCTGTTAGCTCGTTTTGTCGCTTCGATAGAATACCTTTGGCGGTGCTCCTAGCTCTCTTGAGTTGGCGCAAGTCGTTGCCGTTGCCGTCGAGTTTTGCGCTTTGTTCTTGATTGATCTCGTTTTCGAGGTTTTTGAGAGATTTCGCATCGCATTCTACGTTTATTTCGCTCATTTTGATGTCAATAAAGCGTGAATTTAGAGTGATTTTCCTCGGGGCATTCCAATCATTCCAATCATTCCTTTTAGGTCATGCAAGGTTTTCGATTCCTTTCACGCACGCGATTATATAAGCAAAGTTTATTCACATGAACAGTTTTTGGTATAGAATAGTTGTAATACTTTGACTGGAACAAATTCGAACTTATGTAGGCTTGATTTTAGATTTTGAGATTCGTTTGGGCCTACAGGGGGTTGATGGCTTTTATTTCAGGTTGCGTGAGGTTGAGGAGTTAATTCGAACTTCGCTGATTTGAAGGCAATAGACAAGACTATACACTATAGACTTTAATTCGAGATTGTACGGTTACAATATAGTTCATCGATCGTGCGAGTTCGAACTAAATACAAACAAATAAACTATACTAAGTATAAGCCTAAATTTAACTATAAAATTAATATGTAGAGAATATATCGTGACAATAGGATCTGTTCAATACTTCGGTACAAATAATCAAGTTTAACAAGAAAATAAGTCATAATCTATCTTACTTTGGTTTCCTCTCTACTTCTTTTCGTTGATTTTGGCCAAATTTCAATTCCAATAGGGTTTTCTTTTCTACTTTAGATTTAGTGTTCTTTCTCTCAGATCTAATCGCTTTTCGTTTATGATTAATTAAGTTCTGTGCCCAAGGGCTAATAGCGCGTATTATCTAGCATCGAATTTCAAACTAACAATATATATATCTATATATATATATATATATATATATATATATATATATATATATATATATATATATATATATATATATATATATATATATATAATTAATTAAAGTTCTCGGGATTGAAATATAATTTTATTGAGCTTTTATTGAGAACTTTAATTAATTATAATATGCCAATAAAAATAGTTATATATTACAGTAAAATGATTATGATATACAGTAAAGCCCCGCATAAAAGTTCAGTGAATTTTGACTTGCTTCACACATACTTTTTTATATTCTACATATTAAAATATAGGAACTATTGTTGGATAAAACTATTGATGTGACACTAATATGGTTGTTGTGACATATATCCAAACTTAAAAAGTTTTTTAAAAACTTGTATTTTGGGTGCTTAATTGCCAAAATTTCAGCCTATAGTGGTTCTTGGGCCATCCATCTAATATACCCGCCCCTCCGTACGGACAGGAATTTCTGAAAGGGGTTGAAAAAGCCGTTTCTGAGGGGTTGTGTGCATCGGCATCCTTTGATCTTTGCGTTTTTTTCTGAGGGGTAAGGCAAAACTTTCTTAATTTCTGGGGGGGGGGTTTGTGTCGGCACTTTGATCTTTTTTCTTAGCGGTTCAAATTTTATTGAACTCGTCCATAGGGTTGTGTGTGTACATTAAATGGAATGGCCCCTTAACCTACTGGTGGGGCTTTACTGTATATCAAATAACTTGTGCATAATGAAGTCTCAAGGCTCGATGCCTGCGAGAAATGCTGGTCTTAATAATCATGATCTGGGACAATTTCGATAGTGCGCTTTTGCAATTGTTTCATTTTCCTGGGCGATGACTGCTAATCGAGCAGTATGATGCCCACATTGGAACACACAATTGTATACAATAATGCTCACAATATCTTTCTTATTATATATATATATATAATCATTACAAATGAATGGTCATCTGAAGCTGATGTATTAAACAAAAATGTCAACAAAATAGATTTTGTCTCCCAATTGGCAGATTCATTGTTCAGTTGTTCTACAGTAGGGGTAGCCTTGAAAGTGCCATTAAAATGATAGTTGGGACAAAACTGACTTCAAAGGGGCTGTTCCTATGGGCAAATGTTATCCCGGTTTAAGGAGAAAACTTTTCGACTAGCCAAATACTTTTGTTCTGTTCACATGGAGAAACTTTACCTCGTAATTAAGTTTCCGGCTGTGACGTAGCGCTGAACATGAATTGAATTGAAAAGTTGCTGACATGACAGAAATTTATCCCGCTAAGTGGGAAAGTTGTGTTCATATGGGAAAACCATTATCCCGGTCACAGAGATTTCGCCTGTCAACAAGCGAGATCTCGGTACACGGAAAAAGTTGTTGTCTCATATGAACGCAATGTAACTTTTCATATTATTTTCAAACCAAGTTGAGATCTCGCTTGTAAACTTGTGGAAAAGTTTTTTCGCTAACACAGATAACTTTTGCCCATATGAACAGGCCCTTACTGGTAGTATTTCTATGTATGAAATTGTAATTAAATTCTACATATCCAATGATTCATTCAAGTATTATTATTGTTTGTTATACATGATATTGTACAGTATTCAGTGGCAAGCTAGCCATGACAACTGGTCATGCTATGCCAATAAACCTGCATCTATCTGAGTAATGCAAATCATTAAAAATGTGCGCGCATAGCATGACCTGTAGACTTTCACAAAGTTCTTCCTTTTTTTAGAACGAAGGAATTTTCAATGAAGTAATTTCTTGAAGAGTAAGGAATTGGTGGAAGTCAATAGGATTTAATAGAATCATAGAGATTATAAATAACACTAGAGGAGGCATCACAATCTTGACATTAGGCAAAAAAGGAATCTTGTTATTGGGGGCAAATTCCTGCATGTGTACTTGTGTTCTCATTGGTGAGAGCATGATTTTATATCCGGGACCTACATCCCCCCCCCCGATAGACGTGTTCCCAAATTTTTAACCTCAATGCCTCTTCTAGTGTTAATTATAATCTTTATGATTAGAATATTTAACTGACCTTTGACTTTGTGCAAGGTGTTTTCGTATTCAAATTGCACTTTTCCTACCTCCTGAACAGGTGTCTTAGGAGTGCCTTACGTGCTTGTGTGATGGAAGACGGGTTGAGGCAGCACTTCCCTTGCGATAGTAACTTCTAGTACTAGGCTGGTTTTTGTTCAAAATTATGTCTTCTGACGAAAGCCACAGCTCAAATTTTGCAACAAAATCATCGTGCGAACTCTCTTTTGCCGAAGACGTTTCTTGTGATAGCGGGGGTGATGTAAATATGGAGAAAAGTGTGTATTTGTGCGAGGCGCGACGCCGAGGCCTATAATACTTCAATCGAAGCTCTTGCCACTGAATAAACATAACACATGAAGAGTACTATAACTGAGAGACAGCAAGAGCAGCAATCACAGTCTGCTAGATTGTCTGGGGAAACTTCAACTGACACCTGGTACGTTTTGGATTGTATTTATTTACGTTTTGGTCATATTTGTGACATAAAACAAACATGTGATGGCCATGTATAAAACAAAGCAAATGGTTACTGGTCAATATATTGTCACCTCCGTTATTGCACGAAACGTCGTCAATGAGAGATGGCTTAAAGATTACTGTGTTGTCAAATTGGAACTCGGACTCACGTTTAATTTAATTGATGATATAGTATATGCTTCGATTATATATACTTTAATTGTTGGTATACTTTAATATATTAATGGTCCATAGATGTAAATGTGGTGACTGCGTCCTGGCCTTTGTGGTAAAACCCGATGAATGTCGTTGTTGCTTATGTAAACCTTGTAAGGAAAAAATGCTGGAAGAAAACATGCATAACCAGCATTTGATATTGGTTGTATTTGAATGCCCTCTGGAAATATCAAGACTTTAGTATACCGCCACTCCACTGGAAATCTTGATGCAATGACATTCCTATCCTCTTGAATTTCCAATCTCTTCTGTGGCAGGGTGGTTGTGGGGTATGTGGGGCGGGTATAGCTATTTCCTGGAACTATGCATTTGACTGAGTCATGTATCAGTAATTTTTGGCATTAAACATTCCCTCAAAAGGCTAGCCCCAGACATTTGCATGTTTTTCTTTAATGATAACCAGGTAGGTTATAGTCTGGTGATAAGTGGTGAGAAATTCTCATCAGCCAGGGGCAGCCTACTCTCCCTCGTAGACGTTCTTATAGCTCTAACCCTCGCTAACTAACATCTGCTGAAACGAGCTGCACATTCCATTCCCTTTGTTTTAGGAGCCAATCTTCTGGCAGTGTTCAAAAGAGTTAGAGCCAATTGGAAGTCGCCTTATTGAGGGTCTAGCTACTGGGGAAAGCCCTTGCACATGGGAATATATTGTTTGGGTTGAAATTTGTTTACTTGCGTGGAGATATTTTGGAAACTATAGCCTTGAACTTCACGATGTTTACGTAGAATAATATTGTGATCATCTTCTCGCATGTTCTGCACACAACCGACGTATATAAAATGCAAAAGCTATGCAACAGGCGAAATTTTAAATTTTGTAAACAATGACAAACAAGCAATCGGGAAACTCGAGAACAAGTAGATCAGGATATGTCCAAATGTTGCTATTAAATTCTTCCGATATGCCATGGTTTCGACTAAAAATTCTAAAAGATTAAGCTCTAGTTGCATGTAGAAAAGTAGGGATATTCTAAATGGCGCGGGTCGCGAGTCAATAGAAATGGCGCGGGTCCAGCGAAAATGGCGCGGGTCCAGCGAACATGGCGCGGGTAACAAGTTCCGAGGCGCGAGTAAAAAGTTCCGAGGCGCGGGTAACAAGTTCCGAGGTGCGGATAACAAGTACCGAGATCAATTACGCGGTACATAATATATTCAGGATGACAGCTATTTTGAGTCAGCACAACAGCCTGTTGAATATCCGTAGCGTTTTTTGAGACACCCTGTATAGCGCCTGTCGAGAAAATAATAATAGAATTTAGAAGCCTTTACCTTTCATTTTCTACGAATAAGCTCGTGGACTCGTCAAAATTGAAATGGCGTAAATCCGCGTTTATAATTGCCAAATTGTTCAAAACTGGTAAAACTGATTTATGAGATGTTCCAGATATTCCAGATGTTCCAGTTTTTCCAGATGTTCCATTCCATGTTTTAGACGTTGCCCTAGTCAACTGACGTCAAACGTTCTATAACCGCCGTTCTCAGACGGTGGAGTAAACAAACTTTACAGTGGCGTATTTACCAGAAGGGTATATATTATTCATGTTCTACCTGCATGACCATTAATTGAGACACATGATGACTGATGTACACTGTCCGCAAAGTTAATTGATCATGAGAAGGCAGCATGAGTTAACCATCACTTATGCCACAGTTGTAACTGCATGTGCTTATGCTTATTAGTACATGCAGGTGTTCTTGCTTAATATATATCAAGTTCATACTCCATGCATGAATATATACGTACTGTACGTGGCCTATAAACATGTGGTAATCACTAGAAGAGTAATTTTTAACAATTATCAGAATGAGGTTGAGCATCGGATATGAAGAATTATCAAAACCAAAGTTTATCTTATCAACCGAAGCCGTCTTCATATCTTAACGAAAACCGAATTCAATAATTGTTTTACTTATTTAAAAGATGAAAAAGGCATACGAACCTGTGGTGTCTTTGAGCTGTTAATCAATAAAAAATCATGAATCTTTTAACTAGTTTTAAGTAAATAATAAATCGGAATATAAGAACGGCCAAGGCCAATAAGGGAAGTTGCCAGTCATAACCAGCACAAATCACGCACGTCTATGAACTTTTATATATTTATTTTATTCAGAAACATAGTCCTCGACAACATTGATGAAGCAACTATTTCATCCGTAAGTGCCAATATACACTTACTGCACAATTTTATTCCCGGCTTATACAATATCTCTTTTCCTTCCAACAGTACGAACGTGCCTATACATGTGCTCGATCAGGAACACACGACCTCTATTCCATGAATAATTATAACTATCTCTTCACCTCTACAGGTGACGAGATACTTAACCTATAATAACACAGAACTAAGAGGAAATCTAACCAGGTAACTAATTAAAAACTATGCTAAAAAGATGTGTCTTAAGAAGTTTCTTAAAAATTCCAATATTATGACAGTTCCGTATTCTGTCTGGTATAATCTATAGCTTCTGCACTTACATCATAAAAGCACAGTATAAGGACTGAGATAAAAGGCTTAAGTATTTTATTATAATAATAGGCTGAAGTACTTTGTTTTTAATTTTCTTTGTTCAGAAAAAGGGCGTCAAAACATTCTATTTCATACAGACAGAATGTCTGTACTCCCCCACAAGCTTGCAATAATAGTTAATTAGTTATAGCTACGTGCAGTATTGTGTTCTATTTGCGTCTGCAACTTGTGAGGCGCCCAACAAGATTCCTGAATATATATTATTGTATTGGTATCGCTATATACCCACGTATTTCAACGCGCATGCAAACATAATTACTCAAAGAAAACGATAATGTACTTAAACAATGTATAAACTTTTATTTCTTTACAAATATCGTCGAATTATTAAGCCTTTTGAGCGGTAAAACACTGTGGTGTATTAAAACCAAAAACCAAAACGTTGTTTACACGTTGTCGTCCTATTTACCGCGGGCTCGCCTCTTATCTCAGTCAGTACTTTATGTAAGTCTGTTATCGTATCGAAAGTTCTAATAACGTCTGAAATCATACCAACACACCGGGAGGATGGGGTCGATACGATACCGCTTTTAACAAAACAACAGAATGTAAAATATACGTGTCCGTAATAATCCTAGTTCCATGTTTCCGTTTTTCAAACATCTTCCTTGTCTCCGTCTTCTGTTTCCACGGGTACGAGTAGTGCCAAACGCTGAACGCTTCGAGAAACAGTAACAGCTTCACTGATTCCATAATCTTGCTGACGGTTTCCAACACGAAAGTTCTTGTACGTTACCAGAACTCGACGGACTTTTCCATCCTGATCAGGAAAGACTTCTTTAACAACTCCGAGACGGTATTCTCCTCGCATCACATTCTTATCTTGTCCGCGAGCATAACGACGTCACCGGGACGTAAATTTCTTGTGTTGACATGCCATTTGCGACGGACAACTAGAGAGGGGGCGTATAGTTGTATCCACTTTTCCCAGAAATCTTCTACGGCTGTTTGCACCAGGCTGTATCTCGTCTTCGGACTCTGGCTGTGCGTGAAAGGTTGCCATCCTCCAGGATTCTTGGCTGTCGAACGTCCTAAGAGGAGACTATTCGGAGTAAACACGTTTAGATCAGAATCGAGGGAAGGCAATGTTCCAATTGGCCTTTCGTTGAGTAGATTCGCAGCTTCAGAGCACACCGTCAGGAACTCGGGCACCGTAAGACGACGTTTACCAACCGCAAAGACAATCGCTCTCTTGGCTGCTTTCACAAGAGACTCCACTGCTCCTTGATGCCAAGGACTATCTGCTGATCCAAATTTCCACGTTAGACCATTTTGTAGACCACTCTTGTGTAACTCGCTTCGATCGATCTTATCCCAGGCTTCTTTAAGCTCTCTTTCTGCTCCGATTAACTGTGAACCAGGATCACTGTAAATGAATTCAGGCCATCCGCGAATACTTGCAAATCGGCTGAGCGCCAGGAGAAACGAACTTGTGTCATAACCGTAAACTGCTTCAATATGAACCGCTCGGGACACCAAGTCGGTGAAAATGACCCCATACGCTTTTCAACTGGTACGTTTCTGGACTTCACCGCGAACAACATATGGACCGAATAAATCTACCATGGTGTAGGTGAACGGGGGTGCTGGTTTGAGTCGTGCTTCTGGCAACCGTCCTATTTCTTGTTCTTCCAATATTGCATCACGAAGCTTGCACAACTGACACTTGCTTTTGACTGTCTGCGCGATCTTGCTTCCTTGCGCGATCCAATACTTCTGTCTAAAACGAGCCAAAGTGGAATCACGTCCTCTATGCACGCATTGCTTATGAGCACGTTCCATGAACAATCGCGTTACTGGGTGGTGGGTTGGGAGCAACTTTTGCAACGACGCATCAGGGGTCATGGGATTATTATTTTTCAAACGTTGTCCGACCACGTAATAACCATGTTCATCCTTTCCAGGATTCAAAGACGCGTAACGACCGCCCTTTCGTCCCTTCTGATCCGTTTTCTCAATTTCATCCTTTAGCTCTTTCTGTACATCTTTCACCACCAGATCTTCAGCTTCTTTGAGCAGTTGAAACGTGATGTGTAAGGTGCTTCCTCCACGGAATGACTTGTGTCTGGCCATGCTGAGAATTCTAGCTACCATCCATATGATCCTGTCGACGTCACTTGACTTCTTGTAATCGATATCCGGGATCTCAGAAGCAGCTGTCGCAGAGTAACGGATCTTCTTTTCTCCGGGAAGAGCTTCGTTCTTTTGGAGTCCAAACTTTAAACCCCACAACTCGATGGGTTGATACAGGATAGGAGGTCCATTCCACCATTCAGAATCTTCAGCCAATTCATCCGGATTACGACCACGCGTAAGCCAATCTGCCGTATTATTCTCACCAGACATCCAAGCCCAGCAGGAGAGATCACCGTTGGTAGCAGCTTGGATTTCCCCAATTCTAACTCCTTCGTACACCTTGAAGCGAGTGCTGGTTTTATTGATCATGCTCAGGACTGTTTCGGAATCGACCAATTGCAATACCCTTTCGAAATCAAATCGCATCTCCAACTCAATCACTTTTCTCCCTCGTTTCGACAACACTGCAGCATTCAACTCCATTTGCGGCGTGGACAGTTTATTGAGTGGAGCAATTCTGCATTTCGCCATGATCAATCGACACCAATATTCCCCGTTCAGCAAGGACCATCTGATATACGCAGCATACCCGTACGCCAGATCACTTCCATCGCTAAGAATGATAAGCCATGGGCGACCGACAGCATCTTTGGGTCGTAAGCAACGTGAATAACGAGACTGTTCGAGTTGGAATAACATCGTGAAGAATCGAATCCATTTGGCTGTGATGTCAGCTGGGAGCGGGGTATCCCAGTCAAGCTTCCGTGACCAAACCTCACGTAAGTATACTTTCGCACGTAATGTGAAAGGACATACAAGACCAAGAGGATCGTAGATCTTCATGACCTGCTCTAGTACAATTCGCTTCGTCAGGATCTCGGGCAACGCTTTTGGGAGGTCGTCTGCATTCAGATTTGGGCCAGTGCGCACTCCATGCTTCTTTTTGCTGAAGTTTAACACGACTTCGTACAATATGGAATCACTTCGAGGGTCCCATCCAAGACCAAGAACTCGCAAATTGGACTCGGTTCCTTTTAGCATGTTCAGGGGTTTGCCAAACTCCTCGGTATTGACTCCACGAGCCGTCTTTCGAGGACTTTCTTCTCCACTCAGCTGCCAGCATTTCACTGAGAACCCGCCTTTTACAAGCATATTCTCTGCTTCTTCTGCGACTTTGAGGGCACAACTTACGGTCGGACGCGAGTCAATCAGATCGTCCACATAGCTCGATTTCTTCAACAGCTCTGCTGCTTCAGGGCTGTCGTCTTTGAATCGGTCAGCCGTCTTGTAGATTGCTTCCGTACTTATGGCTGGCGCAGGGGTATCACCCATATTAACTCGTTCCATCACATATACGTCAGGAGGTCGATCAAGTTCAAGTCCTCTCCAGAGAAATCGATGACAATGTTTCTCCAATTCTTTCAAGTAGACTGAATTGAACATCTTCCTAATGTCACCTACCAAAGCCACAGCTTCTTCTCGCCAACGCAACAGGATTCCGATCAGGTTATTCATATAACAATCAGGTCCTTTTGCTAGACATGAATTCAGAGACACTCCTTTGTAGACTTGACTGGAGTTAAACACGATGCGAACAGGCGTCGAATTTGACTTGGGGTTGAACACAGCCAAGTGAGATATGTAGAAAATAGGACCTTTCCACTGTTGGATTTCCAAGGACGTGAGAGGACGTGCCACTTTGCGATGAACCAAATCATTCATTTGCTCTTTGTACGTATTTGCCCAAAGTTCATCCTTTTGAACAGTACGCTCTGTCTTCTCCAAGGTTGCTAAGGCGACATTATAGTTATCAGGTAGGTTACGTGGATCCACGATCCAAGGATAACTGGTTATCCAACACTGGTTGGAATCATCATACTCTAGATTCTCACGAATAATTTTAAGTTCTTGCTCTTCTTTGAACGAGTACGTATGTCCAAGGATAGGACATTTACCACATCGACAACTGCCGCAACGAGGGCTTGTCTCAGTGCCAAGCTCTTCGCCTTCAATGAAATTTCCAACCTGACTTTCTTGTCGTTTATCTCTCGCCAGATGAACACCACTTGTCATGTTGTAGGACGGCTGATCTGCTTCAGCTGAACAAGGGGGTGGTGAGGGTGAACTAAGGTTGAACTGAGGGTGATCCTCGAGATGAAGTTGATATGTTTCCACTTTAACGTTAACTTCATGAATCACTTTCGCGAGATTTGAATCATGCTTAGTTCCTTCGACAAGTTCTGGGTGGGCACCTTGAAGACAGACGCCTAATTCTCCACTCATTATACTCAGATTATCTCCGCACCGAGCTTCTTCATGCTTAGGGTGCAATCCAAAGTAATCAAATCCAAGAAGAACGTCAACATGGTTTGATTTTCTCTGGAGTGAGTCGGGATCATATTCCGGGAATAGACTCTTCAAAACTTCGCTGTTCAATTTGCTAACTGGGCCAGTAATTCTTTCCATTCCATAAGCTGTGATGATTACCTTCTTACCCGAGTTTGTCTGCAAGGTGAATTCATACTGCTGGGTGTGGTACGTCTGTTCAACATTTCCCATGGTGGTTACGTCAAGGGTGATCTTTCCAAGTTTCTTGGCTTTTATTCTTTCAGCTGCCCGGTGGGTTATGTAGGTGGCATTTGATCCTCCATCACAGAAAACAGATACAGTTTTGTTGCTTCCACAGACTGCTGTTTGGTAGATGGGATACAGGGATAATGAATCCGATCGAGAAACGTGGGTTTCTTTCTGTGCGAAATCTGTACCCTTACTTTCTTCTGGACGCTTGGATTCACAGAGTAACTGATGATGTTGACCACTTCCACATGGACAGGGAACTTTCTTGGGACAGTCTAGCCTTCTATGGTTTCCAAAGCATTTGAAACAAGCATCAATTTGTTTTAAGAGTTCATACTTTCCTTCTTTCCCGCTAACCGGTAATTTCTGAAACTCTTTGCATTCTGATGTGGTATGACTGATACTGTCCTTTCTGTGAGATGGATAGGCACACTTGTAATACTTCTTGGAGGATTGCTTTCCTGCATGATAACCTTGTACATGTTGCTTTCTTCGCTCATATTTCGGAAATTCATTTCTCCTTCCCTTTGGCTGGTACTCGGCTATTCGAGAGACTGCTTCTCGTTCGCCTTCGAGGAAATGCATGAAAGGGGTGAAAGGGTGTATCTTTTCAATGGCCGTGATGTCCCTATATCTTCTTCGCCATTCTACTTTCAAATAACATGGTAGCAGTTCGGTGATTAAATCAACATCTCTCAACGTCAAAACATTTAGGTTTCCCAACTCTTCCAATTGACTATACGCTGATTCTACTTCGTCTACAAGTTCTACCAAGCCTTTGTAATTATCTGTCGGTACGGCTTTAATCTTATGTAAATCTTCTAGTGCAGCTTGTACACTTGCACCAACATCTTCGTAGAAGCTTTCTAACTTCTGCCACATGACATTGTATGCTTCCGGTTTGGTGACATAGACTGATCTTATTCGTCGACTTGCCTCACCCTTTACCGATCTTTTAAGCTCATGAGCCAGAGCAGTCTTATTTTGATATGCTGTCTCAGCGACTGATTTCCAAATCGCTTTGAACTCTGGCCACTCTTTGCGGTTACCACTGAATGTTGGCAAAACCATTTTCTTTACCTGGACCCGAGAATTGAAACCCAGTGAATTAGGACTGGGGTGAGGTGTAGGTTGTGGACCGATTGAGGGGATTGGGACTGTGCTGGGGTTGACTAAATATGTCTCGCTCGCATTGGGAGTAGAATAAGTCACCGGTAGTTGGAGTGGGTTCCATGTTGATGGGCTGGTAGTTGGAGTGCTTGGGGACACACTGTTCAAATACATACTTGTATCTGGTAAACTTACCAAATTCTGTGGAGGTACATTGTTGTAAAGACTTGTGGTCATACTATGGTGTGGTAGTAGGGGGGTGTTGTGGTATGGATTGGTGTTACTGAAAGTTTGCTGTAATGTTGCTTGGGTCATACTTGTACCAAGGTGGGGTTGGGTGTTGCTTGGGTATTGGTGTAAGCCAATCGAATTTGGTGGAAAACTTGATGTGGGATTGACAGGTGGGGACAAGTGGATTGGGGCGGTGCTGGTACTTAAGTGGTGGAGTGTGTTGACTGTAGATGGATTGATCTGTGGAGGGGGGTAGTGCATGGTGCTGGTGGTTGGGTATTGATATAAAATAGGAAAGGTTTGCTGTGATGTACTTGCACTTTGGGGTATGGTATGGGGATTGGTATTTGTATAGGTGGACTGGGCACTGATTACAGAACTACTCACTGGATCATTCATTGTTGAAGGTACAAATTCAGGTGCAGACACATTGATGGTAGTATCTGTCTCTGTAACTGCAGGTGGGGGGATGTCACTCACTGTCCCTTCCTTGGAGGGGCTGGTAGGGGTGTGGTCAATTTGAATACTGGGATTGGTCACAGGTGGGCTACCAGAGGTTGCACTATCTACATTAAGAAGTGCAGCAGATGCACCCACAGTATCTACTTGATTTACAATAGGGGGTGATGGAGTCTTTTCGATTGAACTTTGACAGTCACATAGGTACAGATTTATGGATCTAACCTGTTTAAAACCTTGTGCAATAATCTTATCAATCTCAAGATGTAACTGAATATCTTGCTCTGATTTTGAAGACCCAATCAAACTCAATTCAGAGATTTTCCCACACAACACATTTAACATTGCTTGCAATTCTTCTTTGTCTAATTGCAATGCTCGTTTATTTGGACTGGTAGAATTAATATTTATATCAACTGTTTCGATTAACTCACTTATTCGACTAGAATCTAGCTTTAGGGCAACTCTCGCTGGTTCTACTGCTAAGTTTTTGTTTATTTCTCGCTCAGCAGCCTTTTGTTCCAAGAATACTTCCCTAGCCTCATTATAACACTGTTTAACATTGTCTCTATACTCACTAATATCCTCTCCGTTCACAACACGATGTTCACTGTTCTCTTCCTCTGACACGAGAAGTTCAAACTCTTCATTTGCTACACAGAAATCATCGTACGCCTTTTCGAGTTCGATTATTAAACTCTTCAACACATCATATTCTGTTCCTCGGTGGGCTGCACCGATAAGTCGCCTTGAGGCCAAACTAACCGCCGTTTTGGCCTTACTTCTCTCTTGTTTCTTGTTTTGGACACTCATATTTTAGTTCATAACATCGACCAATGACCCAATGATAACTACGTCAAGCAACTTCGAGTATTTGGCAGGCAAAACTCCTTTAAAGTCGGCTTCTTTATAGCTCACGAACGTCACCGTCCTGATTGATTTCTTCGATCACTAGTGTTTTACTGTATTGGTAACGCTATATACCCACGTATTTCAACGCGCATGCAAACATAATTACTCAAAGAAAACGATAATGTACTTAAACAATGTATAAACTTTTATTTCTTTACAAATATCGTCGAATTATTGAGCCTTTTGAGCGGTAAAACACTGTGGTGTATTAAAACCAAAAACCAAAACGTTGTTTACACGTTGTCGTCCTATTTACCGCGGGCTCGCCTCTTATCTCAGTCAGTACTTTATGTAAGTCTGTTATCGTATCGAAAGTTCTAATAACGTCTGAAATCATACCAACACACCCACTCTCATCCTCGTTTAATCCGGGCTTAGATCTATCGAACTATTTCCTTGCTTTGAGAAAGAACATTCGTGAGAAGCATCTGAATGTATTTGAAACTTTCAGATCACATTTCATTTTTAGTTGGACTATGTTGTAGTCAATTTTGGCCGTCACTCGTCAGGTACTGTGCCACAAGTTGCTTAATTAATTAACAAAATTCATTGTCAAAAACAGCGTTTATATTTCATGCAATATTCGCTTGGTGACGCTTGACGGATTTCGACAAAACCTCACTTCAATTCTTGTTTCTGGTGTTGTGCACTTCAGGTGAAGATGTAATGTTGCTCTGAGTGTGTCCACACCGGGCAAGCTGAAAAGTTAGCTTGGCATCGAACAAGCGACCTTTGGTTTACTAATCCAGTGCTCTGCCAACTGAGCTACGAGGACATGTCTGCTGGAGTGCATGATATTTCGAAACTCATTCAGTTTAGTTCCTTCGATATCCGAATGTTTTCAAGATCTTGAATTCTTGTTTCTGTTGCTCTGAGTGTCTACACACAGGGCAAGCTGAGAAGTTTGCTTGACCACCGTGGTCAACACACTGATATCGAAGGAACTAGACTGAGTTCCGAAATATCATCCACTCGAACCAACTTGACCTTGTTCAGTTGGTAGAGCATTGGACTAACAAACCAAAGCTTGCGGGTTCGATTCCTACCGTGGTCAAGGAAACTTTTCAGCTTGCCCGGTGTGGACACACTCAGAGCAACTTCACAAACGTATATATCTTCAACCTGATTGCACAACAGTAGAAACAAGAATTCAAGACCTTCCTGGAAGTGCAAAAGCTGCTGGGTACCTGGCTTATATGGGATGGAAGAGTGATGAGACAAACAGCATAAGAAAATCTCAATATTCCTCTCAGATAATAGAGGAACACCGTCAATGAATAATCATCGTCACCGTGGTTACACCACAGCGGAGATTCCACAGACTGGATTGCAATTCGTAAGATGGTTCCATCTTTAAGCTACAAAATAAAAAAAACACTTGCAGAAAAAAATTTCCGAATCTATACAACCTGGGAAACGACCATGCAGTGAGGTAAGGTAAGTTCTACAAGTTTATTTAACTGCTTCAATTTTCGTGAACAAATTGTTCACACTTCGAACAGCTAACAGTTCACCTCAAAATACCACTTGAAGTTTGTAGTTTGCGGTCTGGCGCACACTAGACTTACGAGTGACAATTTCCTCAAAGTGTGCGCACATGAAACAGCTCACAATAATATGCGAAGACGCATGCGTATTCGGCAACACAACTAGCTACAACTCGCCGCCATTTTGATTTATAAGACGCAATTAACACGCATGCGTATATTCGCATAATATTGTGAACTGTTTGCTTTTCCTGTGCGCAGATTAGGAGAAAATTGTTAATATTCTGCGCCGGTGGCACGTGTGAAAAAAAGCTCTCAAAACGTCACTGCACACTGGGGGAATTTGCATATGAAAGTAGTCACGAGTGAAATTTTGCTAAGCACATAGTGTGCGCCGGGCTTTAAAAGGTGGTTATTCCCCCCTTTCCCAGCCATTTTTTAAAAAAAAATTAAAAAATAGGTTTAAAGTGATTTAGGTACCTTGACTACTGTAGTTTGTGGCTACATAATTTATTTTAGGATATATGTTGTGTATCTTGCATAAAAGGGCCAAAATATGGGAAAGTATTGTAGTTTGCTCCCTAGCAACGCCTTAGCAACGCGATTTTAGAGCAAAATTGCATAAAAAAATGCCCGAAAATGCTTGGTTTTTCATTTCTACTTTTGGTGTATGTTATTTAGAAGGTTTTTCTTTTGCTTTATCGTGATTGGTCCATTTGGGGAGCAGGGGGGGGAGGACTAACTTATAGCAGAATATTGTATTGAAATTTCGTGAGTGGAAAAGTAAACAGTGTTGGTTCTCTTCAAAAATAGTCGTTGTACTCAAAATTTAAGTTCAGAAGTAAGTTTTTCTCTTGTATAATAAAAATTGTTTGTTATTCTGGCCATATAAATGGGAAATGAACGTAACAGAACGCGAAAAAGGGCGAGAAAACCACCTTCAAAACAAGCGAAGAAACCCAAGCTGGCTAAACATGGCGATCCTAGTGTTGACGCATGTGGACCTTCTGGGGCTAAAATAGGCGATCAGAGTGCAAGTTATAGCACTGATACGGAGAATGTCGACATTATGAAGCAAGGTACAGCAAAGGAAGCAAGCATAAAAATGGTATCCCCAAATGTATTGTGGATTTGGTGAAACCCATTTTTGATGATTTGAGTAAACCTGAGCTATTGGAGAAGTGCACCCATGGCTTGACACAAAACGTGAACGAATGCCTAAATGGCTTCATCTGGAATAGATGCCCCAAGACAACATATGTTGAACAACAAACTGTAGCCTTGGCTACCTATTTATCTGTCCTGAAATTCAATGATGGTGATATCTCCTTTATTAAAATATTTCAGGATATGGATATAAAGCCAGGCGTCTTTACTTGTAAAGGTGCCCAAGAATGTGACACAAGCCGGATCGAGCTTTCGGCCAATTTAGCAATTTTAGCAGCATTGGTAACTTTTGTGGTATGATAATTTTTAGACTATTTTAGATATTGCATCTATACTTAGCATACTTATTCTACATAGTATTAGCTAGTGCCTGACATTCTCAGAAAGTCAAATTTGCTAATTGCGTATTAATTATATCATATTTATTGTCTAATTAGCCGTGAAATTTTGACAATTTCATATAAAACTTGCATTTCTCTTCATATTTTTTTTCTTGATGCTTTATCTAAAAAATGGACAATTTCAGGCACTAGCTCATGTCTTAAGCTTTTAAAAAATATGTAATGTGTCACAATAATATAAATCCTTCTTAAGATATCATGTTTCAAATAAAGCATGTTTTTGCTGATTCAGCAGTAGCCTAATTAATGAGAATGTGAATTTTTTTTTTGGCAGACACTTTGACTCCCAGACACTTTCAAAATATGGTGATATTTAGTTCTTCTTGTGCAAATTTAAAAATTTTGATTGAAGGGGGGAATAACCACCAAATCCGCTCTGAGATTAAGATGAAATATAACGAGAGTGCACGAGGGTAGTTCGTTGAACTAAAGTTGCAAATCTCATCAAGTTTCGTTCAACTATAGGAATTAAGTTGCATCAAACTACAGCACGTTTATAGCCAGTAAATGTGTCTCGAACACATTTAATCTTTTGTGTATATATAAGTACAACTACTGGTAATTTAATAGTACTCGTCAGTTTTTCTTTTGACTTAAAAATGTTAATAAATAGCTATTTCGTTGTCCTCTGCATAAAATCTACTTGAGTTGTGCGTTTTATTTCAACTCAACGTCCTTGATAGTGACTACAGTATACCGTAATTATAAGAAAATGTTTTGTATATATACAATGACATTCAATGACCATTTCATAAACCTACAGCCCTGCAGTAAATGTTACTTCTAGTTAATGTCACAATCTATTATACACAACTTCAATATATACATTATAATTATACACTCATTTTACTTTCCTGGAGCCGGTTGTACAAAAAAGTAGTTTAAAAGTTAATAACTAGAGTTAGGGCGAAAGTTACCCAATCAAAAGCCCGCATTTGAAAGTTAACTAAGTTAAGCCTTTTTATACAACTGGCCTAACAAGCTGGATAAATTTTTCCTTCGCCCGGTACCATGTCTTGCAATGGCCAAAATTATTGCAACCCAAGAAGACGAGGGTCAAACAACTTGGGCAAAAGACAGTATTTTAGCCCAAAACCTTTGCAAGCTACATGAAATGGTAAGCTCATGCAATTTTGCATTCCAGTAACAACACTGCTGTTTTTTAAACATTACGAGTTGCATGAAAACATTCATGCATCTGTGTTCATAAATGTTCATTATATGGCTTTATAAAAAAGCGAAGACCTAAAGCACAAAATACAAAGTATAATACAGCATACGTTGTATCTGTTTGACTGTTTACCCAAGGTAAGATATTTTAATTTTACTTTGTCTTTTTAAAAAAGATTTCATCTCGACGTTTCTAATCATATTTAATATCGTTTTTAATCATGTTTAATCGTTTACTAACTATTTAAAACAGTGCTTTCTTTGCAAGCATGTACGTTGTTGAGTAGTAAAGTACTGTAAGCCTGTAAAGTGCTGTCTGTTGTTTTGACAGCGGTATACTTGTTAACTTGGCTATGCTTTAATTATTCTTTACACGAACGTATATTAAGATAGAATTAATATTTGAATAATGTAATTAAAATGAATATATTTATCTTTTTTATTGTTGTTAAAAGGCTATTTAATAAAAGAAATAGAAAACATATTTTCCGTGTTCCTATAGAGTTATAGAAACACTTGTGGAAGTTTGGGAGAAACTCAAAATTGCGTGGAATCATTCGCACTTTGTGCTCCCACGCAATTTCTCGTTTCTCCCAAACTTCCACGCGTGTTTCTATACAGTAACTCTATAGAAACACGAAAAATGTTTTCTATTTCTTAAACAGAAGCAGCCATGCAGTCTCTAAATTATATTCTATAAACTAACATAATATATACTGATAAAATAACCGTTACGTTTTTATATCGTACTTGGCCGAGCTATGCCTGTTAGTTACTGTATATCTCTATCCCTATTGACCGAGCTATCTGCAGGAGAGTTAATTTAAGCAGTCAAACGCACAATGATCATCGCGCATACTGCCATGAAACCAATTGGACTAACTTGCACAGTAAAATTACAGATACTTCCAATAACGTTACTAAAATATGATGCAGGATTGGTTTTCGTCACTTTAGTTTCACCAATTTCTGTCAAGAAAATCTGATCGGGTGCATGAACTCTAAAAGTGTATTGCGTGGCAGGTTTAAGTTCTTGAATTGTTGCCTTTCCTCCTTTACACTCCGCCGATGACGTCTGCCAGTCATTATGACCTGTTTTATATTGAACTTTATCTTCTTTACCATTGAGTTGGAACGCTGAATAATCCCAAGCAAGCTTGACAGAATCGCTAGAAACGTCCACAACTCTTAAGTTTTGAGATTCTTCTAATGGCATCAAGTTTTTCTTTTGAAGTTTGCCTTCATAGTAGTACCGCACATACACGCAAGGCATTTCACTAGAAGAAGAATTTGCTTTTAAAAATTAAAAATAACATGAAACTTTGGCCGCGTCAATTGCGAAGTTGGTTGGGAATTTGGAACTACATAAGGGTTGATTGGAAACCAGCTAGTCATATTTTGGGGTTTTCCATAAAGCTACTGTATCAACATTCGTAACGAAACTCCGAATAAAAGAGGATAGCCAAATATAATTAAAAATATATAATGGCAGAAGTGTGACTAATATATCAAAAATCAAAGATAGACTATCAGCCATTTAGTAAGGGCAAGCGAGTCTCGAGGCACGACTTTCTATTCACGAAATGCCAATTACGCATGAATATGAAATCTATTGATACTTACAAAACTTGGTCTTGCCGTGTTCAGACGGTTTGATTCCTGCTTTGGGTCGACAATATCATTGGTTGGCAGCATGACTTGTATTATACTTATTTACTTGATGCAAACTTACCTAGAGCACTGGCTACTGAGAGGTTCCTCCGTGACGACAAACTTCATAACTTTATTAGCAATATTACGCTGGTTATCTTCCTCGAGGATCTTGAAACGCTCTTTGGCGCGAAAGAAAATTTCTTCAAATTTCTGCATTTCACGTTTCTTTAGGAATGCTTGCATATTGAAAAATTGAGCATCTTCATCTGAAGATAGTGTAAAAGCCAAGCATACAAGATGCTTTGTGTCACATTTTAATGACATTAATTTTTCGCTGCTGACAAACGGGGTACGCTCCGCCGCTCCCTCCTGGTTGAGTAATTTGAAGATCTCTTGCAGAGCTTTCATTTCCACCTTCTTCTCGTTAAGATGAAACATGAAAAAACCGAGGCTAATTCCTGCTCTTTCAAGAAGGCATTGAAGTCTTCATCATCCGCGGATCCACATAATTGAGATATTTTTTTCTTAAAGGAAGTCGTGTAGTTCTGCACCATTTCCACGAACAATGTAAGCTGCCTTTTCAAACTTGGGAAATTATCTTCTAGCTCGAGGTCTTTCCATTCAGTGAGGACAGACAGAAGTTGTTCTATGTTATCAATTGCTTTGTCAATCAAATCAACTCTGATCCCCTTTCTTCCTTCAAGGCGCATTTTTCTCTTCAAGGCGCACTTCAAGTTATCTAGAGTTAACAGGTAGACCACAACTGGAACCCCGATTTCATCTTTGCCTATCAAAGACGGTAGCTTCTTGTAAAACTTCACTGCTTCTTCGTAAGTTGATGGATATTCTTCAACAGGAAAATCACTGTAAACTTGGCAAGCTATTTTGTCAGTGTGCTCGGTATCACTCGCACTGGGAGAAACCCCAACGTTCAACTTCTCCACGAACATCTGTAACTCAACTTGCAATTTTTGCAAGTTTTTTTTTCCCTTAACTTCTTGAGCAAACTCCATGGTAATCTTCCCTCCATATTCTATACCAACCACAACATGGGTCGCAATATCTTCGTCTAAAATCTCGGGATGTGAAATCTTGGTGTTCTTCAGGTGTTCCATAGTTAATTCTCGAAGTTGTGTCCTTGTCTCAAAATTGAGAACAACTCGAGCTTTACGTTTTGAATGTTTACTATCTTTCAAATAGGCAGCTGAACCTTGCAGGTCGAAACTGTTGCACACAACGTTCAATTTTAGATGCCCGTCTACTTGACATGCTAAGAATTGCTCCGAAATCTTATTAGCACAAACTACTTCTGTATTTGTGCGCGGACAAGGCACGATATTCACATTAGATTTTAGCTCCTTTGGAGACCACAGTCTTTTGCCAGCAATCAGTTTATCTGTACGAATATCATATAACATGCCAAGATCAAATGGTCGTCCCAACGCGGGGATGATCTCCCTAAAATAAAAATTTTTACTCGGTATAAAATAAACGGTCTACGTTTGGTCGTACCTAAATGAAAGGCAAGGAAACGTCAAACGAAGGGTCTGCGCTCGAAAAGTCGATCTTTTCTAAAAGATACGATTTTGGAATATTCGTTGTTGTTAAATTCAAATAAGAGTGATTCTGAGTGATTTCTTGGCCACAAGGAAAGACTGCCATTTCTCATAGTATAAACGGGAAATGGAGAATTAGAAATAATGATAAAAAAGAAAGTGCGAAAAATAAGAACTAAATAAATTACATAGATAAAAGTTTCAAATACTGCTTCCGCCGGTATTAATCAGTTTAAATGGCTGGATTGAGGATAGCAATTTTAGGTACGATGAAATTGTATAATGATCCTACTAGTTTCTTGTGCGCAACGTTTAACGTTGTGTCGAACAAGTAATCTAAATAAAGCCTTGAATGATTACCTTACCAACATCAAAATTGAAAAGGCAATTTGTTTATTTGTGCATGTCTAGTCATATTTTTTGATTTGGTGCAATCTGATTGGCTGCAGCAGCGGGCAGCTTTTTACGATATCTTGACCGTGGTCCAAAAGAGTTATTTTTTCGCGAAAAACCGAGGAGTGAAGACAATTTTCAAACTCAAAACACTACCGAAAAAGTTTAAAAATCGAAACTAAAGACAGTAAAATACAGTGAATTGGCTTCAGTGGACTTAGTGCCAAGCCCGAAATGTACTTTTCTCCGACCAAACTGCATGTGTAAAAAAACAAATATAAACATCGAAAAACACTTGCCAATGCTACATGTTTTGATTCAAATGTTCTACATATATTCAGCTATTCTTCGAAAATATACGTATAAATATAAATAGTACAACGTACAACTTGTCCTTAAAAATAAAATTTAAAACAAAACAACCTTAAATGGCAGTTTAAAGACGATTCCTGGGTATATTCGGGCAGAATTGTTTTTGTAAATGTTGTATTAAAAGAACAACTTGTTTTTCGGCAACTAAAATTTGTATTTGTCTGTCAAAAAGCATTTTTCAAGCATGTCCATGCTGCAAAACGAATCGGAAAATAAATGTTTTTACTTTGTTCGAGGGACGCTTCTGAGGCCGACGGAAAATATTTTTTCAGTACGGACCGACCTAAACGGTAAATAACGTGTTTATTTTTTTATGGTTAGAATGAATTCCGATAAAATTCCAGTTGCGAAGTACATTTGAGATCGATCAGTTGCGTTTGTTACTTTAGTGCAAGCATGGCTGACAAACTGCTAAAACGACGCAATAAAAGCTGGGTAAAAAGCTTTTAGTTTCATTGCAATAGATGCTTTTCTACTCAACTAGAAAACAGAAGTTGGCCTTCGGCCCGCTTCTGAGACCTCGGAAAAATATTTTTTCAGTACGGACCTCGCAGGCGGTAAATAACATATATATATATATATATATATATATATATATATATATATATATATATATATATATATATATATATATATATATATATATATATTTAGCAAGAATTGAAAAATGCCAGCAACCAATGAGCTCTATATATATCTGGAGCAAGAACTTCAGTCATCCGGCCTATGAGAAAAGTGAAGTCAACGATATTTTAACACAGACATTGAAATCAACAAATCTTAATCCATGCATATATTATCAATTGGCTCATTAATTTTATATCGCGTAGGAAACAGAGAGTTGCTGTAGATGGAACTGTTGTCAATTTTGTCAACATCAACAGAGGAGAACCTCAAGGTACAGTTCTTGGCCCCTTCTTGTTTTCGTTAAGTAAGTGTCTTTTTAATGACTTTTAAAATTTTGTTATACGGTATATATTAACTATAACGTTAACACATTTGTAAATAATCTAATTATTATATTTTATATGCACTGAACGTTTTAAACAATTTTTAATGACTTTTAAAATTTTGTTTAACGATATATATTAACTGTAACGTTAACACATTTGTAAATAATCTAATGGACCATTCCCCATTTAACCAAAATTTTGATCTCAATACATCTAGACAAAATTCCATCATAGCATGAAAGAGCATCACAAAATTAGTAATATTCCAAAGTTTCGTTGCAAAATGTTGTAATATGCGGATAATATAGCCTTGCGAAATTTGCAATTTTCAGTCATTTTAGATTACAAACGGGAAATGGTTACCACTTTTCCAAAATTTCGATCTTAACTAGGCTAAACAAAAATTTCATCGCAGCTTGAAAGAGCATCACTAAATTAGTAATATTCCAAAGTTTCGTTGCAAAATGTTGTAAAATGCGAATATAGCCTTGCGAATTTTGTAATTTTCAGTCATTTTGTATTACGCACAGAAGTGGTAACCATTTCCCGTTTGTAATCTAAAATGACTGAAAATTGCAAACTTCGCAAGGCTATATTATCCGCATTTTACAACATTTTGCAACGAAACTTTTGAATATTACTAATTTTGTGATGCTCTTTCAAGCTGTGATGAAATTTTTGTCTATACTTGTTGAGTTCAAAATTTTGGTTAATTGGGGAATGGTCCATTACTATTGAACTTTTAAGCGAGCGAAGGAGCAAAATTTCCAAAACAATATACAAACTTTTGATGCTATAAAGCCGGAAAAATTGTTTAAAATAGTGGAAATAAAAAAACAGTGACACACAGACTAATTTGCCAAAGTGTTTCAGCATTTGGGCTGCTGGACTTGCCATGAAAGACGGTAAATCGTAGGTTTCGTCGTGTTTTATATACTCAGTTTTAATTTTCGAAATTATTGTATTTTTTGTATTTCGCCGAAAATATATCTACCTGTAGCAGTTATTATCAGAAGAATTGAAGGTACTTTCTAAATCACTTATATTACACTCACTTATATTTGGTCTTCCTGCATCTTTTTCAAGTTTTTTTCTCGACTATTTTGTTCGCTTTTACCCAAAACTTGTCGAGACAACAACAAATTCGACGAATGCCAAGCCGGTTAATTTTACACGTAGAACTACAGAAAATTGCTTTGTTCCTTTGGTCTATTCCTTCTTGCTTTCTGGTAAATTTTGTATTTTAAAAGCTCTATAGTTTTGTTTATATTTTTGGCTAAAAAGCAGTGATGAAGCGGGGGAAAACAGAGAAAGAGCAAGGCAGTGGCCACAGACACAGAATAAGAAGGTACAGCAGATGTGTAACTCAAGCAAGTATTTGTCCGCGTTTTTACAAGCGATTCGTCATCAATCACGCCATACTGGCTGGTACAACCGGCACTTTGTACCTACCAAAACCTGATAAAAACTTCCGATTGTACTAGCCAGGATGGTGTGAGCGAGTTAAAATTTTCGTGGACGTAAAACAATAAAGGAACCGACTCGAGTTACACTTCTGCTGTACCTTCTTATTCTTGTGCCACAGATCACAGTGCATTATTATGTCACAATGCACATTAGCCAATCAAATCGTCTGTTATATCACACTTATATTATAATACCAATTTTTCCACTTAACCCCTGTTTTTAATTCCAAGTTATCAGTTCATAAAACCTTAAATCGAAGTAAAAATACGAACTTTCGGCACAGTCCTTGCAGACCGGGCAGATAAAATCAATAGAAAGGACCTGAAATTGACGTCCAATATTGCATCTTTTGCTTCAAGTTTTGGACTTGACCTCTCGCTCCAGATATACATGCAGCTCACTGGCAGGAACAAAGAGTATTCCGAATTATAATAAACATGAAAAAATAATACTGATTATCTTACTGTTGGTCTAAGCCCTGGTCCAAGCTGATCATTTCAGAACAAGAATTGAATCACGTTCAAGTGGATCTACACATTTGAAAGAAAAATAGGGAAATATAAAAAAGATTTTTTGTGAAAACAAAAAATTATTTATTCTTTCTGGGTACTACCAGTCTATCAATTGTCGTCAGACGTGTTTATTAGGGAGTTTACGATCTACAACGCGGCCTGCTCGACGACGCGCTTTCAAAACAAAGAAATTTGTGATGCAATACAAAAACGGGGAAAAATTTGTGGTCCCAGGGGTATTCTCAACGGCGTCGCACACGATGCGATTTTAGTCGGCCGATAAAAATCGTTTGACATACCGATATACTGTACATCGGTATACTCCGCATACGATTACGAAAACAATATGCTCCCTGAACTGTAGCCGCCATGTTGCCAAATAAATACAAGCACGTGATCACAGCATGAAATCTGATTGGTTATACTTAAAATTCCACCGATAATATATGAAATGAAATCTGATTGGTTATACTTAAAATTCCCACGTATAATATCAAAACGTTTTGATGTTGTCCGATTAAAATCGAGCAACAAAAATCGGTTAAAATGACACCGCTCACACAACGATTTTGTTAGTTTTAGCATAGAATAAAGATCCACATAGAAGGGCAACTTACGTCGGAAGCTTTGAAGTTTCTGTCCTCGCGCATGTCGCATTACGCATGTTGGCCGCCATTTTCCTAGCCAGTCAATGACATTTTCTGGCCAATAAACACGCTGTACTGGCTGGCTGCTCCGCCTTCTGGCCAGTAAACTGCATATTTTTGCATAAAAAAACGAGGACACGTTGCACCGCTGAGTTGCCCTTCTGTTACTGATCTTTATTCTGTGGTTTTAGTCAAACGATTTTTATCGGCCGACTAAAATCGCATAGTGTGCGCCAGGCTTAAGCATTATCACGCCTTTCAAGAAACGTAAAAGCTTGTTGCGACCCAAGACGTGTTACTTAAAGTCGAAATTACAGCAAACATTGCATCGCTTTAGCCGAACTTAGTAGTTCGTAAGGCTATTACGCTAAAAGGCTAAAAAGCGTCAAATTCGTAAGGCTAAAAAGCGTCAAATATTTATTACAGTAATCAAATTGCTTATAGTGCTCATTCTTGAGCTGAACTTTAGGCCGCGTCGTTGAGCCGGCCGCGTCGTAGATCTTAAGTTCACTATTGTCCCTCAACGACTCAGGCAGGCGTGCAGCCGTGCACCAAGACGACATGAAACATTTACACACAGGAAATGGTAGGTCAGGTTAAGTAGATATACTGTAGTAAGACAGAAAAATAACCAGACAGGACCTTGTTGTAACCAGAATATTCATACCAGATAGTTCCTTTTTTATATATAAATTATTTTGTCTTGGTTTCTACAGTGTTTAGAAACTGTAGTTTGAATTATTTAATGCACATAATGCATGGATTATATCTTGGACTGGACTCTAATTACTAGTTAATTAACCATTACAGTATCTATCATCCAACTAGGGCTTTGGAACATCTTAACCAAAATACTGCCACATCTCAACCATACCAACGACTGGCAGGGTAAGAAATCATTTTTGTAAAGGATTCAGTCCATGTACGGAAGCAGGCATGCTGGCAAGAAAGCAGGTAAGTAAGTACACAAGCAAGTGGGTTGTGCTAAGCATCCTAACTAAGCCCAACCTGATCGAATCTACAGCTTTCTAAGGGCGCCTGTGGCAACAACCTTGTGACTCATGTCTGATCACAGAGCACAGCTACAGTGGAAGGGTCAGTTAGGGGGCTAATTGCAACCCACCCTGTCAACATTACCTGTGGGAGGAAAACAAGAGTACCCAAAGAAAACCGATGACTTTTGGTAGAGCATTGACTAACTCTTTTCACATTAATGTCATCAGCCTGAGGTGAGAATCCAACCCACAATCTCAGAGGTGAAAGGCGCTTGCTCTGACGATCGAGCTATACTAATATTTTACTTGGATTAATATAGCTGCAAATCATATTAAGTGACATAAAGGATATATAATTTTGTTTACAAAGTTGGCTTGCTATATGCTGGCTGGCACATATGGACCTGGTGGTCAGTGCATAAGTGCATGACTAATAAGTTAACCCATTTTGTTGCAATGCACCTCAACATTTTACTTTGTCTAATCGCAGATGATTTTTCTCATCAAGGGGGGAATTGATTTTGTATGGGGTGACCATAAGCATGAATTGACATTTGGGGTAATTATTTAAGCATATACTAGGTATTACTGGCCTCTGATGAAAAAATCCTACATACGACCTGAGTTCTAGCCTGTATATATTCTGCTAATTACCACACAGGAACCCTAGCTACGAAACTCTCTGAAGCCTCTGAAATAGAGGTAGCATATTCGAATAGTGAAAGCAAATTTACATACATGCGGCATTTGTAAACACAAATATATAATATCCATCAATAGTTTCATGTTCAGGACAAACTTTCAATGCAGCCAAATACCATATGGGCCATTCCATTCAATATCCACCTCCTATTGGTGAGGTCAGTAAAATTTTACCCCCAAAGAAAAAAGATCAAAATGCAGACCCCGTCTCAGAAATTGGCAAATTCTCCCCTCACAAAAATCACAGAGATCAAAGGATACCAACAGGTTTAAGTCCTCAGAAACGACTTTGTGGTCACCATTCAAGAAAACAAGTAACAATCAGTTATCCCAGAAAATACAATTTTCGTCTGTCTAGTATAAACTTGCATACAACTCATAAGACATGAAATTAAAGAATAAAATATATTTGCTAACTTGCTTACATATCATTTGCTGGGCTTTTATATTACAGACATTAGTAATTACAGTACAATTGTAATGATCAAATTGCGTTTTGATTTAAATAACGTGAATGCTGCGGAATCACAGGGATACAAATACCTGCAAGATACAAGGAGAACTTCGACGATTCGAGCGAAGGCGAAAAGTTCTTGTATTTTTCAAGTAGTTGTATCTCTATCGATCCAAAGCTTTCTTATCATTGCCACTACCTACACTGGCACACACCAGTTAAATAAACGTACCTGTAAAGAGATTTGGTGTAGTGTCCAAGCAATAAGTGTTTGTGAAATGCACAGGATATCACTGAAATATCGAAGCAGACAATCTAATTCTTGTTTGCCATTGATATTGTGGAGCGGAAGTAGCAAATGCGGACAACCATATTTTGATTACATTTGCACCAGAAATGTACTACACGACCATTTGAAATAGTTCCAGTTTTCTGTATTTATTTATTCCAGTATCACAGTGTATACTTTACCGCGAAACAATAATAAGAAAATCACGACGACCGAAAAAATAGCAGTCAACTTGAAAATGAAACTAAAATGGGGAATTCCCTACCCCCTGCAGTGTTCCTGGAACCGACGCATGCCTGATCTGCGCATGTCCGAAGCCAAAAAGATAGTACGCGTGCATGTTACCTGAGCAAAGTTGTTATTGAGTTGTCATTTCGGTTGTTTGATCGTCGTCGTCGTCGTCGTCGTCGTCGTCGTTGTTGTCGTTGTTGTCGTCGTCGTCGTCGTCGTGGATGTATGATTAGATGTATAAATTCATCTTAGCCTTAGGGACCGTTCATTATTTATACCCGGGGTTGGTACCGAAGAGATATGGGTTGGGTAATCAAGTTTTTGACTAGCTCATGGGTTGGGTAAAAAACATTTATGGCTGTCTGTCAGCTATAAAATTAAGCCAAAATCACCATGCATTAATTGGAAAATATGAAGAAAAATGTGTACAATACATTCTGTACAAAAATAGACCATCAGTGATTGAGGAAGGACTCTATCATTGATTAGTAGGAACGTGATTGCTTTGTTAAAATTTGTGACGCCAATTTCGTAGCTACAAATGTAAAAAAAATACAAACCAAAGACGAAAAACATTTACCTTGAATACTTTGTCGTGGCTTAGGCATGTTTTTAAAACAATTAGACCAGTTTATGCTTCAATATCACCCTTTCAAAGTGGAAAATATAGCAAAACAACAAAAATGCCCAGAACTTTGGTAATATTCGCAATACGCGTGACGTCACGTTTTCCAACAAGGATGAGTCAATGACGTCAGGCAGTTTCCTATCCAGTTATTTTACAATCCATGGTGTGAGTAAGCTTTTAGAATTTAGGTGACTTGATTTCTGTCACCATAATCTTGTTGTGTTTAATTATTAAGTACAGTGACACATGGGTTGGATAAACATTATTTTGACCAGATACAGATAAGTCTTTCGGACGTTTTACATTGAAAATTACACCATACAGTACATAAATCTTATAGTGAATATAGAGTTACAGACTATTACTTGAATATCATTAAATGTATGGCTACAATTAAAACGTAACTTACAATCTGAAATCTGTCAATACTGTAATTCACTAACAGTATTTCATATTTTCACGGCAAGATAATATTTTGTTCTCGCTTTTTAGTACAATGGAAAATAGTGTCCTCAATGCAAGGAAGTTCTAACAAACTCGATATTGAAGGAATTGAATAGCGCAAAATTTGATAAACCATAGTGCAGAAACGCAATAAGTGAGCAATGCAATAAATTAACTTGAACTTCCGGCACAATTAATCTAATTACGACTCTGTGTTTCAATGCATGGAGTCATCCAGTTACAATACTTTGCATGGGTATTGCTCGTGTTGACTTCAAGTGTAAAAAATGTTAACTATCATCCCTGGAGATCGAAATAAGTGGTAAAAATTCCAAACTGCAGCTGTGCAGCATCGTCATCAAACTTTCACTCAAAAATCTTTCAAGGCAAATTGTACACAATGGTCAAGTAAACCCTGAAACCATTTTAAGGATATGCGCATAAAATGAAAAGATTTACCTCTTTATTAGACGTTGAATGACCATTTTCGTCAACTACTTTCTTTATTGAATTTAACAAGTTCTGGTATTCCGGATTCAATAACGACCTAAAAGGTTAGTTGGATTTAAATTCGTGCTCATCTCTCGTCCAGAAAAGAATGCTGATCACAATACCAGGCAGGGCATTTTTTAACTATATAACTACTGGGGCATTTATCCCAGTAGGCCCTTTGTTTGCCCCAGTAGTGAAACAAGATTCTCAGATGAACTCGGCCCTTTTGATCATTAGTAAAAAGTCAACCTTGTTAAAAAGGCTGCATCTGCCTGCTTTCTCATATCCTCTCACATTCTCGACATTCCATCTTATAAAAGTCAGAACAGTCAAGGGTGGTGCTAAACGGGTGGGTGGTGGATGGGTGTGGGTGTTGGAACACTCCCAGGCGTCAGGTAGTCGGCAAATTATCTAATCCCAGTTGGATAGGAAGGAAAGAAGCTAAAATATTTGAGTGACACAGTCTGATTAAAAACTATTATTTGTTACAAATTTCACCATTAAAGCTTTGTTTTGAGCACAGGCGGCCCAATCTCGCAAGGGTCAGTATAGTAATGTATATTATTGTAAAAATATGTCATAAAATATAAATTTTAAAATGAAATTGACTTGCCTATTTGATAGTGTGTATTCTCCTTTTATTATTTTTTTGTTGGACTAATATTTTCCGCGGAGACGTTGGAAAATATTAGTCCAACAAAAGAGTAATAAAAGGAGAATACACACTATCAAGTGGGCAAGTCAATTTCATTTTATATTTTATGACATATTTTTACAATATTTACTATACTGACCCTTGCAAAATTGGGTCGCCTGTGTTTTGAGAAGCTGATATTTTTTTAAAGTGTTCTCAGAATGCAGGAAATGCTATTTCAGAGACCCAAATTTTAAAAATTTCCTGGGGGCATGCCCTCAGATCCCCCTAGCTATCTCGTGCCTACGGTACTCGGCGATCGCATACAATACTATCCTGGGGGGAGGGGGCATGGAAAATGGGCCTTTTGACAGAGTTGCCCCACCACTGAAAAAGCCTTAAAAAATGCACTGATAGACCTACCAAGCGTACAGTGGGGCTCAAATACACGCACACCTCGTGCACTGCACAACTACAAGAACCATTGTACAAATCTAACAAAAGACAATTTTAATTACACGAAGCTCTAATGAGAGTCAACTACACGAATTTTGCGTGCAATTCGTGTATTAAATGACAATCACAGGAAAAGTACGCGATTTTGGTTGTAATTCAAGGTCAATTACAAAGCATTCATATAAAAATCCACACAACAAAACATGTCTCCTCTAAACCAACCATGCGTGTCGCTATGATATAAAACGTTTCAGTAGTAGTACTGTACAGTACTTCTAATAATAGGCAATTTTTCGGGTGATTTGAAATAGAAACTTCAGAAGCACGGGCACAACCTGGTTGTGTTGTAGCTAAATACACTTTCCGTACCAACACGAAAAAGCACGTATTCGATGCGGAATATACAACTTTCAGAAGCTGAGCGAATCTGCGAAACAACATCTCGCCGTTGAATTAATTCCTCTGATAATAGCGTTCCTAAAAGGTACGGATAGGTATTTTTCACGTCGCTACGGAAAGCTATCCGGTATAGTGTAAACGTAGCCTCATGCGAAAACTACCTTGATCGAGATGATGGCTTCTCGGCCTCCTCTGACCAGTTATCTCTTGACCTATACTCGTATTTTGAAACTTTATTCATTCTGGCCACATCAACGGTTCTCGTAAAATCAAAGAAATGGCCAAATTTCACAGCTGTCGGGTTCGACTAAACATTAAATGGAGAAGCAATTATTATTGTCGCAAATTACATGAACATTCACTGGGAAAAAATAGTGAAATCCACACTATGAGATTTGCAATTGCATCACTAAATCCATAGTATATCCATACTATTTCGATACTATATCCATAGTATGGAAATTGCAATAAGTATGAAAATTAGATTTCCATACTATTTTCAACGATTTCCATAGCAAGGATTTTGAAACAATTCCAGTGATTCTTACAGAAGGGTGTGTCGGATACTGTTTTGCCGGATACCGGATGGTATAGGATAGTCCTCCAGGTTCATTGCGGAGGTGCTGTTGAGCCATTCAAATCACTAATACTCCGTGTATCTCTACATGTGGGGAGGGAGGTGTAACAGTGACTTACCAGGATTTGGGGTATCTATACTCCATGTAACTACATGTAGAAGGGTTTTGTGGATATGAAATTCCGAGTGTGAATTATATAGAGAATAATACATGGGTGCGCGGAAATACTAGATCTATTTCGAGTGTTGAACATGATATCTCACGAGTGAGCGCAGCCAACGAGTGAGATATCATGTTCAACACTAGAAATAAATCTGGTATTTCCAAGCACCCATGTATTTTTCTGTATATTATATAAAGGACAGTCTTTGAAAAGCGATATTTTTACAGAAAAGCGATAATTGAGAAGCGATAATTTTCACATGTGAGATTATCATGAATAATCTCACATGTGAGATTATTAACAATTATTGGATGAGGTTTTTGTGATATGCGAATTATCAAGGTCGAGGTAAGCGTTATCAGCCGAGCCGAAGGCGAGGCTGATAACGCTTACCGAGACCTTGATAATTTTGCATATTGCAAAAACCGAATTCAATAATTGTTTTATTATACATTTGGAGAATAATAAACATAGTACTATGTTTATTATTCTTCAAATGTATAATAAAACAATTATTGAATTCGGTTTTTGCGATATGCAAAATTATCAAGGTCTCGGTAAACGTTATATTCAATATGATTTCTGGCAAAGCTGTTCAAGTAAAACGTTTCTATAAACAAGTCTCTGGAAGTCCAACAGTTAAATTAATTACAAATATAAAAGAAACATATAATCGTTAAGATGTTAACGTATTAAAATATTTACTTGTTAAAGTAAACATTACAATTATGAAATGTACATTCATTTGAAATGTACACTCATTCAATTTCACGCAACCTACACAAAATTCAGTTATCTGCTAGCAAATAACTGAGTTATCTGCTAGCAGATGACTGAATTTTGTGTAGGTTGCGTGATTGCGCGATTTAACTGTAAGCTCTTAGCCAATCAAATTGCTTTTACCAACTACAATGTACAATAAATACATTTATTAGACCTAACCAGGAGCAGTTGCGAAAAAAGCAACTATAGACCTTCTGGCAAGAATCGAACCTACAGTATGGTCATGCGATTCCGCCATTCCCGTCGCTGCCATGCAGTTGTCGAGATATATTCACACTCGCACATTCCGTCCACAAAACCCTTCCACCTGTTCTATGACAGTAACCTACTTCAACTTTCGGCATGTTCTCATATCTCCAGGCAATTTTCATGGAATTATCTCCTTCAGGTGGCACTTTAGATGTCGCATTAAGATCATCAACAGCGCAAGGCAAATTCTAAAAAAAAATTACATTGAATTGCGATGGAAAAGGGAATTTACCCTGATCAACCATTGGCTTTGGTGGTGCAATCGTCAGAACAAGCGCATTTCACCCAGTGAGCTCTATATATATCTGGAGTAAGAACTTCAGTCATTCGGTCAATGAGAAAAGTGAAGCCAAGACGGCGGCCATTGACGTCCAATAGCTCTGAAGGTCGTAAACAGTTTTTCTACCATTTTCCTCAGCTAATTCCAGTTTTTCCAATGGACCGTATCACTAATCAAGTTTTCAGTTCATAAAATCACAATATTATTCTTTTAATCGAAGTCAAAATACGAAATTTCAACACACTCCTTGCCAAGATGGCGGAAATTGAAGGAGCTGTTGGACGTCAGTTCCAGTCCCTTTCTATTGTTTTTGTATGCGCGGTTAACACGAAACTGGCTTCACTTTGAGCAACCAAGTTCCTACTCCAGATATATATGGAGCTCACTGATTTCACCTCGTGGGTTCGATTCTCGCTTCGGATCTCATGTGAAAAGAGTCAGTCAACGCTCTGCCGAAGGTCCTGGGTTTTCTGTGTGTGTTCTGGTTTCCTCCCAAAGGAAAAGTTGACAGGATTGGTTAAGATAAACACAGTTAAGAAAGTAATATCAAAATTGTTGTTGAAAAAGATAAAAATAGTCTAGACTAAAATTACGGGAACCACTGAGTATTTTAATAAAGTATAAAACAATGGTAACTCCGAAAATAAACATTTGAATATTAAAATGTTTATTTTTGGAGTTACCGTTGTTTTATAGTCTAGACTACACGCGTAAAAATTGAGAAAATCAACAACTTGTTCCAGGTTGATATCAACATGTGTGAACAAGGTTGTGCGGCCCACTATGAACAGTTTGTCAATATGTTGTTACAGCATTGTTCAACTGTAACAACTTGGAACAACATGGTTGACAACTTGTTCAGAGTTGCCGCACAACATTGTTCACGCCTGTCGATATCAACTTGGAACAACCTGTGCGTTTTTAGCCGTGTAAGTATGTAATTACAGCAGGTAAGAGTAACACTCGAAGTGCATTTGATCATACACTATGCACATGTAAATTTGATTTGTTAATGAAATGTTAATTTTCTCTTACAGTATTACCCAAATGAAGAATATCGTTAAAAATGTTTGTTAGGAAAGCAATAAATTTTTCCCTTGACATTTCAATCTGTGGTAGGGAGGAACAATTTTGGGTAATAATTTTGAGAAATAGCCGGCAATTTTCTAGGCAATAGACAGCGAACTTTAGGAACCCTGCAGTGATTCAGTGTTCTGTTTTATACCGTATAAGCACTGTATATTTTGAATTTGTGTAAGTAAGATGGTTATGGTCGGAGACATTTTAACAGGTCGGTCGGAAACCAACAATTTTTTAATTTTTGACCTCAGGGCTCAGGTGACATCCGTTTTTGGCATCAGGTGTATGGTATCTAAGGTAAATGTAATGCTGAGATTGGCATCTCACTCGATTCTTGTCTTGTGGATAGAAAATATTGAGTGGAAATTTATATACATTTATTAGACCAAACCAGGAACAGCTGCGAAAAATGTAACTATAGGTCACTGGTAGGAATCGAACCTGCAGCCCTGCGATTCCGGTGCAGCGCTCTAACCAACTGAGCTACAGAGGCCAGTTGTCGAACTCTAACCACAAGTTAATTTCATGTACATGTATACTGTATATAATTATATTGGCTACTGCAATGTTTAGGTTACTGTATGGGACAGGTAAATACCGGTATCGAGATTCCTTCGATTCTTGCCAGGGACATATAGTAAGTTGCATTTTTCGCAGTTGTCCCTGGTTAGGTGTAATAAATAGAGGATATTAGACGGTTGCAAGGTAGTATGGATTTTATGTTCGAGTGACAAAAGCACTATCTCGCGAGTGAGATATTGTTTTTGACATGAGAACATACATATATCCATATCTTCCGCAACCGTTTAATGTTCTGTTTGTTATATGGACTTATTCAGAGTGACAAAAATATATACAGACGACATGTAAATAAGCACGCAATATTCCAGTATAAAAGTGATATTTTTAAATTATAGTGCAAACATAAAACAAGAGTGAATTTTACTCATCTCAAGATGTCCTTTAAGTGTTTTCGTTTTATTTTCAACGTTAATTTCGTTTTTATATAAGAACCAAAGACCATTTGTATTTAAAACAACAACAATGAAAATGGCGCGAAATTTTCGAACTCCCTATGTAAACAAGTGTGAAATATGGAAAATACTTTACGCACATCTGGTCCCGGATGTAGTGGCATATGAGTTCTACGAGTGCTTTTACTGTTTATTTCCAGTAAAACACCATTGTCCATATAATAAATGTATAAATTTCCACTGGATAATTTCCATCTACAAGATTCTTCAACTAAATGTAATGCTCACCTTCCAAATTTCATGAGGATCTTGAAGTGCCGTAGCTAAGAACAAGGAATGTCTCGAGGCAACGCCTTCAGCAAGGAAACACTTGAACAAAGTGTTGGCATAACATGCATAGTTATCCTCCTCTAAAATACACAAGATAAACAAGGAGATTTTCGGAGATCTTGCTCGATAGAACTAACAGTTGATGGATTATTGTGGATGGAATTTAGACCTACAGACAGTAAGAGCAGTTTGCAATAAAATGCAACCATATATGCCCTCTGGCAGGGCCTCCTCGCACAAAATGTAGACGTTTTACTTGTACAGTAGTTAATATACACCTCACAGATAGTTGAATCACTCTGAATCAACAGCGTTCTGGTGTTATTGTCATGACTACTCTCTTATTGCATGTGCATGTGGAGATTCGGCGTTGAGAGCTTGTCCCAGCTCTGAAAGCAGGAATAGATTCAAAGGTAAACAGTTCTATGATGATAAAGTCCCGACCAATTCGCTGATGAGCTTAGTTAATATTTATATAGCAACATGACTAGAGGGAAATTAGCGATTAAATTGCTGGACGCCGAGGAAAGGTTTGTGAAAGTCGGAAGCCCAAGGACTTTCACAAATTTTCCCTCGGCGTCGGGCAATTTAATCGCTAATTTCCCCACTAGTCATGTTATTAGTTTGTTAATATATTATAATTACCGAGGATATCGCGCGTGGTGTGTTGGTCTCATTTGAATGCTGTTTGATTGTCTTATGATTGTGGGATGAACACTTTTCATATAAAGAAACACATCTCTGTGTTCATTCTTTTTAGGCATGCGCATAAACCGAATTTTATCCCACAATTGAAATGTTCAAGATTGCGGAATACTAACTGGCAAAGTGATTGTTCGAATGTGTACGGGACGGTGTCGTCAGACACTGTCCATACTGTTGTGTGGATGATTTTCGATGAGGTATAGTACAGCTCTCCAATAAAAGGTAATAGGGTACGCTTTTGTCTTCTAAAACAAAATATTTATTTGTCTTCTAATTTTCCCTCACCAAGCATGCAAGGGCGAATTAAAAGACAAAGAAATCTTTTGTTTTCAACAACATTTCCCAGGGAAATTTAGAAGACAAAAGCGTATATATGCAGGGGTAATGAGGGAAATGGTATTATCACAGTAATGTCCTCTGTTTTAGAGCATCCTATGATCCTATCACTATGCATCTCAGGAGGAAAGGACATATTATCTGCGGCGATTTCAACCTGCCAGATATTAGCTGGGACAACACCATGGCAAACAAAACGAACGGCCACCCTTTCATCGAAGTTTTAAACGATCATTTCCTAACTCAAGTTAATAACTTTCCAACCCGCGGAGATAACATTCTTGATCTTCTGATCACTAGTGTCCCGGAACACGTCACCATAACCCAAATTGAGACTCCAGAAAACGCTGCTGTATTTACGGACCATTCCGTCGTTTTCTACGAACTTAACGCGTTTGTTACGATTCAGACAAAAACTCGTAGATACGTATACGACTACGGAAATGGAGACTTCGAAGGATTGCGTTCTGCGTTGTCGGCCAAGAACTTGTGTTCAAATCTAGATCACGAAGACATAAACGATGACTGGCAAAGTTGGAAAAATACCTTCCTCCAAACGGTGTTAAAGTACGTTCCATGTAAGAAAATAAAAGGACGTAATCCTTTGCCTTGGATTACAGGGAACATTTTAAACCTTATCAACAAAAAGAACACTGTTCGAAGGAAATTGAAATCATGCCCGACCAGTCATTTGGCGCAGAAATTCAAAGAACTGCGTACGTCCGTTAAGAATATGCTCCGAGAGAGCCGGGAAAACTACTTTACTTCGCTAGGAAACAACTTTAAACAAAATCCAAAACGCCTTTGGTCAATAATAAAGAAGAAATCGAAATCGCGAAACATTCCTAACACTGTTTCCTCTGCGGTAAACTCAGGTACCAACCAAGACCCGGCGAGATTCAGCGCAGATAACCCAACTGATATTGCCAATATGTTCAACAGATACTTCACGTCAGTATATACATCAGCTGACAATTACGAGGACACAGCTGATCATGAGCAAGCTGAACCTGCAGTAATGACAGATCTCGCCCTCTCAGTTGAGGAAGTGCAAGCAGTACTTGGATCTCTTGACTGTACGAAAGCTACTGGACCCGATGGCATTCCCGCACGTCTACTAAAAGAGACAGCTTCCGTAATCTCACCATCTCTGTGTAAGCTGTACAACAAATCATTAGAGCAGGGTATCTTTCCCCAGGACTGGAAATTAGCGAACATTGTTCCAATATATAAGAAAGGCCAAAGAGAACACACTGAAAATTATCGGCCAATCTCACTGCTACCAATCCTTTCGAAAGTTTTAGAACGCTGCGTTTTCTTTAACATCAAAGATCATCTGTTCCAGCTGATCCAGAAACTGCAACATGGATTTATTCCTGGTAAATCATGCGTTACTAACTTCTTGGAAGTCCTGGACTACATCGGCTCGGAATTAGATAATGGCGGTCAAGTAGATGCTATTTACTTGGACCTGTCAAAGGCTTTTGACAAAGTCAGTCACTCGAAACTTAAACAAAAGCTGCGTATGGCTGGATTTGGCGGCAACCTCATCCAATGGTTCGACTCCTACCTCACGAATCGCCAACAACGTGTAACTGTACTTGGAGCCACTTCTGCCACCCTCCCAGTTACTTCAGGTGTTCCTCAAGGCTCCATACTTGGTCCTGTCCTCTTTGCCCTGTATGTCAACGATCTTCCTGATGCTGTGAAATTCAGTCAAGTTGCAATGTTCGCAGACGACACAAAACTGTTTTCAACCATCAAAACTAAGAACGACTGCGAACACCTACAAAATGACCTGGACAACCTGCGAGTTTGGTCGTCCGAGTCTGGCCTCTCATTCAACGACAAGAAGTGCAAAGCCCAACACATCACCAGAAAATTCACGCCACTAACAACAACATACAAACTATCATCAAATTTAGAACAAATTAATAGTGAACGTGATCTTGGAGTGTGGGTCCAGAATAACCTCACCTGGAACAAACAAGTTCACGATCAGTCGGCGAAAGCAAATAAGTTACTGGGCTATATCAGAAGGTCAACGTTGTACATCCACAACACCGCGGTGCGACGTATTTTATATTTGGCTCTGGTGCGACCTCACTTGGGTTATGCAACGCAGATATGGTCTCCGCAGTCAGTTGTTCTAATACAGCAAATAGAACGTACGCAGAGGCGAGCGACAAAATTTATCCTTGAGCTACCTTTCGCCTCAACTACAGACTACACCTCTAGACTGCTAACCCTGTCCCTACTACCGATTTGCTATTGGCATGAGTACCTGGATATGGTCCTCTTCTATAAAATAGTAAATAGTCTGGTGAATGTTAAACCTCCTCTCATTCCAACCATCCGAACCTCGAGACCTACCAGATCTTCCACCAGTACTGCCACCAAGTTCATCATACCCAAATGCAAAACAACCACCCACCAACGATCCTTCTTCATACGAACAACCCGTGTCTGGAACATTCTAGCGGAAGAACTAAAACTGGAGACTTGTGGTCTCTCGACATTCAAGTCTATTCTTTATGAATATTATATGACTTCATTAAGAACTTCTTACAACGTTGACGATCCTCGTTCGTACAAAACAATCTGTCTAAAGTGTAATTGTGTTCGTAGTCTTACCAATCCGATCTCGTGTTGCATGTAGATATTGTGTCTTCGTCTGTTGCATGTTTTGGAAAGAGTTAGTTCGTTATCCTCAAGCAGTATTCCTTGTTATATCGTTTCTCTCGTTATTATATGAGTTTAAAAGTTGGTTTAGTGTCAAGTAGTATCTCATGACTTGCCTCTGAGGACAAGGAAACAACTCGTTCCTATATTATCATTATGTTTGTTGTTGTTAAGTTTTAAAGGGGCTGCAGTAATTGGCTTGCGCTGTTGCAGATTCCCTGCCATGTGCTAATAATTAATATTTGTACAAGGGCTAAGCTATTAAATAAATAAATAAATAAATAAATAAATAAATATTGGTTCCATGCATTCAATCCTATAAAACATTAAATTTTCTAAACATACCAACTAACAATACTGTTCCAACAGCAAGACCACCACCTAAAGTCAAAACACCAATCAATCAATTTGTCAATACAGAGTGAAGAATGTTGTGGTCAAAGGTTATTCAGGGTTTGTTCACAGTTTTTCAACGAATTTTACAATTTTAAAATCAGTGTTTTCAAGACGTATAATTCCGGGAAAATGCATCACATCATGCCTATGAACAGACCATCCTGGAAATGGTATGCAATCATACATGCATGCCTTGAAGTGTGAACCCCTACTCCATACAGTTAATCCCTAATCTACTGTAAATCTTACAACTGTTTTTAAATTATCCCACCCCTATGCCTAAGGCTACAGTATAGTATGTCTTAATTTTGGCAATTTTCACAATTAAGACATCTAGATAGCATTAACTTTGGGAAGAGATCATGTTGCCAGTATGAATCAAATGCCCAGCACATTCAGTATAGAAAAACAATTGCACATCATCACACGCCTAACAAGCCCAATGTGATTTATTGCAATCGTACTCTTTCCTTCCTGGAATGGCTGGTATAACCAACACAAAAACTCCCCCCCCCCCCTCACCTACTCCCCAGGGCCGAGAAAACATGTTGACATATTTTTGGATAATATCCCGGGCCATAATATCCACACACCTCATGTTGAGGATATATTTCAGTCATACCTACAGTATAACCCTAAGAAATTCTTGTCTACATTGTTGTACTGTGAGTGTTGTGCTTGATTTACACAGTACAATTCAAGTTGTAAGTAGGTTGCATCCAAGAGTTCTAGGCTAGACTGCATTCCATGCACTCTACTGTAGGCTGGAGATACACGACATGAGGTTACAAAAGTTGTTGGTGTATTGGTGTGAGATTAATCAAATCTGTTGGTATATTGGCATAAGATTATTTTACAGTCTTAAAAGAACACACTAGGATTATCTATTTTGACTTGGGTTTTAGTCCCCAAAATGACATATTGACCACATCTCAGCTGTAAAGTTTACATGGAATGCATCCTGGGTTTTACAGTAGGCATATTCCTTGTGGTTTGAGAATGTCAAATGATCCTCGTATTCTTAAGGTATTTGTATCCTCATGGCCTATCAATCCGAAGCTGTCTTATATAAATGAGGGGTGTTGTTGATGGAAATTATCGTGGAAATTTATATAATTATAAATCATTAGACCTAACAGGAACTGCTGGAACTGTACAGTAGGTCCATGGCAGGAATTGAATGTGCGGCCCTGCGGAATCATCTGGTTAGGTCTAATAAAATGTATTATAAATTTCATTGTTGGTGGATTGGCCTTTTTGAGGCCAAATAACTCGATTTTGGCTTCGTTTTTTCTTGCTTAATTTTTTTTATAAATTTATAAACTTTGCCGATGAAACAGTACATTACATAACAGGATAAAAACAAAGTTAACATACGTGTCACAATGAAATACAGTACATGACCACAGGTGGGTGACCGCAACAGCAAATGGCCAATTACTGCGGGCTTGACCTTGGAAAAAACTTAACTTGGCCTTTTGGCTTCTTTTTGGCCTCTTTTCACTTTGAACAAAGGATTGTTAAAAATTTTATTGACTTCAATTGTAAATACCAGTTTACTGTAATTGTTTTGGTAAACAAATTCCTGAGGATTGTAATGAAAATTTCTGAAGATAATCATATGGGATAATCTTGTTGACTTTTTAGCCAGTCACAGTTTATAAAATTCAACTAATTGTAATTTTAATATTAATTATAACTAACCAACAACAATTGAATAAGTTTCACAGATGTCCGCCTCAGAAAACGACCATTTAAAACCATGGGTTATAATATGAGGGTTTTGCCCTTTAGTTTAGGGGTGCATCGGATTTGGAATTTTCAAATCCAGCCGGAACCGAATTTGAATAAAAATTCAGGCCGGAATTCTGGATGGATTTGAGATAAGCCGGTAATGGGGACAATTGGGGATAAATTGGTATAATTCAATATTCAAAATGGCAGTTTATGTTTTTTAAAAATCAAAGACAATATTTTATGGCATAAATTTTCTAAGGGTAAGCAATTTTTTCATTTATAAATAAAAATTATAACTATTTATTACTACATAGTTAAATTATGCTATAAAAAATTTCCAGACTGAATGTTGATTTTATAAATAAACATGACATTCACAGTTCCTATTGGATAGATTTAAATGGATATAAGTAATGTGTTGTCGGTGGTCGCTCTTTCTCCCGAGGGACTGCTCACAGTCTACTTTAATTTGGTATCTTAGCCCTCTTTTGATAGATTTTGGCCTTTCAAACTACATTTGGCTCAGAGCATGCACTGGAGACTACCTAGTAACCTGATAAATTTCCACTCAATAATTTCCATCAATATTAAACACCCTTCAACTACTGAAGTGAGTGAGATGCCAACAAAATCTTGATATTTTATATAAATGAGCACAGTTTGACACCAGACTGCAGAGTACAGCAGTTTTCGACTATTTTTGAGAAGTGAGCATGTAACAAAGTAAACTTTTTCTTGAGTACTTTTACTTGGAACAAAGTCATTTTGTGGCGAAGTATTTTGTTACTTTCTAACTTTTGTTTAATTTTACATGATTTATTTCTGATCTATTTTAATTTCAGAAAAGGTAATACGACCTCTACATCCATCTGAGATCTGTCATTTATGACTTACTTATAAGAATTATTTAGTATTTAATGGATTTCTTATATCTTCAACGGAGTATGGAAAGTAGACCATGCTGTGAAATATTGTATATTCGGTGCACGCATATGTGTGTTGTTTTGTGTCTTTTGTATGTTAATCCATTGGAGAAGTTCCCCTCCCCCTCTACATGCTACAGACAATAGTACTTTTACTTTTACTTTGTACTTCAAGTATTTTTTAAGGATACTTGGTACTTTTTACTTAGTACATTTTGCTTCCAGTACTTTTCACTCTTACTCAAGTCATTTTATTGTTAATTACTTCTACTTTTACTCGAGTACAAATTCAAAGTAATTTAGGCACCACTGGTTGTGACGTGTTTATCGAAAGGGTGTATAGCTGTACAATTCTAATGATATTAAATTTTAATTTTATTTGTACAAATAACTAAATCCAAATTCTGGCAAACAAACAAGAATGTATATTTCAATTGAAGACAAAGTTAACACAAAATAGCCTATTTTTGACACACTTTTTGCATGTCTTTATAAAAGGAAAATATGCATGTCCTTGTAATTGAGTTGTAAATGGAATTTAAGTGTGCACTCGAAAATTCCATTTCCAACAATGCATGCAGAGACTCCAAATTTCAAAAATTTTTCGCTCACCGCCAATTGTGGTGGCCTTTTGTGGAAATCGGACCAATTGAAAGTTCTTGTGTGCCCATGCTTACATGCTATATGGTTTTGTTCAGTCATGACAACCTGATGAATGATGATTGCTTCCTTGTAGAAAGAAATTCGAAACTTTTAATGGACATTTTTCTTTTGCGGCCAGGTGGTTGTTATATTACACTTGTCTCAGAAGTCGTTATTTTAATGCCTGACAAAACTGGGAAATATTCGAAATATGTGTTAAGTGTGCAATACCATTGGCCAGAAAAATCTCGGGTGTGCACTTGCCGGACTAATCTGCAGTTCTGGGTTTGACATTGACAAATTGAATTATTCAATTATTTTAGAGTATTCCCCAAAGGTCCCACGGGTATTTACTTCAAGACCTATTTGTGAGACGAGAACGAAAAGCATGATTGAAGACAAAACAATCAATTATTTACGTTACCTAACAAACCATCCAGAGAAGGCACTCCCGTTGAAATCAACAATTGATTATTATGTAAAGAAATTTTAGTTCCTGCAGGATAACTGCCACGACCACGATGACTTTTCTTCCTAAAGCTGGATGCCATTTTTCTCAATAAAAGATTGCTGAGATTCCTTCTGCTAAAGGACAGTCTGCTATTTCACTTTTCGAATAAAATCACTGAGCTATAATAAAATGTTCAAAAATGTCCGCCATATTGATTTATGCCACCCGACTCGCACCACTCGTACGTTTGGCGGAATATTTGACGCCTTGACGAGCAGGCGCAAAAAATATCGGCATTCTAACTTGGTGTGACCATTATTGGTATTAATCACTGGTATTAATTAATGAGAATATAAAAGGCGCCATTCACAAATGATGTCCGGCCAAACGATGGATTCTCAGACCCTCTCCCCCCTTGTCCGGCATTGTCCGAATTGGTGACCCCCTCCCCCCAGACATCCGCCATACCTCGCAAAAACTCACGCACCTTGTATATGCCAAGAGTAAAATACTTTTTTTACTTTTAGAACTTTTTTTATAACTATAAATGTGAATACAAAAACATATAAATTATTAATTAAAACAAACAAATGTATTACTGCAACAACGGGATGAACTTATTGTATAGAGAAAAGGAGAGTTATACATACAGAAAGCTTTTATTTGACGCCACTGTTAAATTCATCATTGAAGGAAAGAATTAGATAATATTATGAAGTGTTCAAAATACCAATTTCATAATGGGAAGGAGAGTTCAAACTAGAGGAAAAAGAAATTTGTTTTTGAATTTTTTTAAATTTCGGACATCCGGATTGCTAAAAAAACCCTCCCCACATGTCCAAGTTTGTCCTGATTTTCCAAACCCCCCCCCCCCCTCGGCTCGGACATCCTTTGTGAATAGCCCCAAAGGAACTGCGCGCAGCCTGGACCCGATTTATCCGCAAGGGATCGGGTTAGATATCACTATAGAGAGTATAGAGAGAGGGATGCGGGCTCATTTCCAATTAGCTAACACATAGCCGACTCGGACAGTTTCGCAGTAAACTTAGCTAAATAGGAATTATTATAGTAGTATTACTTTTCGACATATTAATGGCTTCGGAAAGAGAAAGTGTTCCTGAGCAGGCCGCGGGCCAATTATATAGTCAATACTGTGGATTGGGCCCCAGCTTTCCAGTCACCAGAGTTTGCGCTGCATGGTCTACAAAGCACAATGGCCGCGACAATAAAAAAAATCCGCTCGAACGAGAGTTTCAAGGGAGCGTTAGGTAGCAGCGTTGGAGCAGTTAGGCGAGATCCGCCCCACAGTGATGGTAGCAGTGGTGAGTGCGGCACTAGAGAGTTAAGAGCCGTTAAGAAGATGCTTTCAGGTAACGCGAAAGCAATTACTTCTCCAACGCGTCTCACGAGCCTTAATTAAGGCATTTTAATCTGGATAATGTGATTTGAGTCAACCATATCCGTATAATCTGGATGTTTGTTGAGCGTCAAATTTAATTAAGAATTATACCAACGGATTACCAATTACAATTGTCTTAAAATTACCAACCAACCAACAATATAACAACCAAAAATATACCAAAAACTACAAGCATGCAGACAAAACGAAAGTAAATTATATAGGGTCTCTTAATTAAGTACAGCTACTCCATTGACAACGGCTTCATCTATGAAGCGCAGATACCGTTCACAGTCCAGTCCTAGTTTTGAGTTACAGTTACAGTTACAGTTACAGTTTAATCTTCAATCTTGTTATTTCTACTCTCTCGACTTTGCAACAACTAGAAAATCATCTGGTTGAGGAAAGACCGAGTTGCGGGGTAGATACTTCAGTACTTGGTGTCTCTGCTCCTTCAGGCAACTCAAATTTGTAATGATGTAATAATAATGAAGCAAAAGAAAACAACATTATCCTCGCCAGTGATTGACCAGGGCATTCTCTACGACCAATGCCAAACGGTAGGAACCCATGGAGTTTATTCCAGCCGACGAACTTGCCATCGCCATCCAGAAATCTTTCAGGTTCAAACTTCTGCGGTTCTGGCCATTCTCGTTCGTCCATAAGCATACGGGAAATATTTAGGCACACCAATGTTCCCTTAGGAATGTGGTAACCAGCGATAGTTGTGTCACGAATTGCGTTTGTTCCGACGAGCCTCGCCACACGTGATATCCTTCCGACTTCACATAAGGTAGCTTGAAGGTATGGCAAGTTTTCCGCGTCTTTCCTGTTTGGTAGACGATCACGTCCCACGACTTCGTCCAATTCTTCGTGTATTTTGCTCTGCAGTTTGGGATATAACACCATATATACAAAAAAACAAGTTAACCATGTCGCGGTAGATCCTGCTCCCACAACAACCACATTCAACATCAAACCAGGAATAGCAGTATCTTTCGAACCAATATATTTCCTTGTCTCTTTGGCAAATTCTTTTTCATAAGCACTGATGAAACTATCTGTGAGATTTCGTATATGGTGCCTGGAATATAACTATCCTGCTGCGCTTGGTATTCCTTCGGGAAAATCGTCTCTCTGATCTGTTTTGTTCGCTTTATTTCTTGAGTAAGTTTCGATGGTAAGTAACACAGGATCGGCAGTAACTGATACACTGTACTAAACAATGCTTGTCTGCTGATAATCGAGGAGATTTCATTGATTTCCTTAACAATTTTGTCGTCCAGCGTTATGTCGTTTGATGTAAGCCATTGCCAAAGGTGTATCACTATGGAGAATTCGAGGATATTTTTAGGAGAAAAAGATCTCCCTGGTTCATTTTCGATTTCTTTCATCACAACGTCAACAGCGTGACCAGCACGGACCGATGCCTGCTCTATCCCAGCGTCAAAAATATGCATTGCTGATACGAACACTTTCTTCTCAAAAAGATATTCGGGTGAGTAATCACGTGTGCTGAAAACACCACCCAATATCTCATCAAAAGGATACAAAGACTCCGGCAATTTCCCCACAAGATCTTCTCGTCTCCCGGGGGTAAGCCTTGCTTCACGTACTAGGGATGCTGTATTTAAGATAATAGCGTTGCCGATTGGAAAAGTAACAGTGAAAATATCTCCATATTTCTCAGCTAGTATATCAAATGGTCTGGCTGCATGTGCAGACATGATTTGAGGAATGTTTCCAAGGAAGGGATATGGAAATGGTCCGGCAGGCATGTTCTTTCTCGTCATGTAGGTAGTGATGAAATACCAAATAAAATACCAGATGAACCAGACGAAAAACAAGCTCACGAAAACCTCGACAATCATTATGCACCTGTAAGAAACAAAAATGATTTCTTAAGGGGGCAATCTATCTTGAAGCAAGCAATCTCTGGATGCATTTGGCCGGATCTTAATGCCTCGATGTAATATACAGAAACTACAGTAATTACCATGACTCAACATGACAATATTACGAATTGGTACCATAAAAGAAATATCATGCAAGACTTTTAATGTTAGATACTATGCTTAGTATGCTTCATAATATGTTTTTCCTGCGACGCAAATGGCCGCCATCTTGAATCATTAACTTGAAAGTTTGCTATGCGCAGAAGAGATGCGCAGACGGTGACACTGCCCCTTTAATAATCATAATCTGTCAAACACCAATGTCCGGTATGGGTTGTGAGGAACATATTACATTCAGTTATAAGCCATGCAAATACAGAAAATGCGCAAGCAAGCATGTGTTTGCATTCATGTTGCATTCTCTTAATTACGCCCGTATTCTAAAAGCTCACTCGCACTCGCGCTCGCACTCAATGAGTAGAAGTTTAATCTGAGCTTTTCTTGAGTGTAATTGCTGTTTTTGAATAGCTGGAGGGTGAGTAGTGACATATTAAGGCACGACACTATAAACTCTCCAGCTATTCAAAAACAGCAATGACACGTACGCGAGAGAAGCTCAGACTGAACTTCCACTTATTGAGTGTGAGCGAGCTTTTAGAATACGGGCGTTAGTCTTTCTAACCGGGAACTGTACGCGCATGATACTTTCAGCAATCATAGAAAATTGCAACGGCAACCTCGAATCCCATAACGAATCTCATGACATATGAAGCTAAAATGTGTCCTGCTCAGATTTTGGCATCTCGACCAAGCAATACAATATTTTGGAATCACCAATTGCGCGTGAAAGACACATTAGGAAATCGCATCTAATAAGAAGATGCTTCCGACTATCAATCAGGAGTCCGACATTCTACCGGCAAAAAAATTTCAGTCCCTGATACGGATAGCACGCGAACTGCAGAGACCTTCATTGTTATCTTATCACACATTTTGAAAATTTTGAAATCTAGAGTCTCTTAAGGTGGCTCCATACCCTTCTCAAGCAAAAAGGACTAAGTACGAGAATGAAAAATCGCGCGAGATTTAAACCTCTCGTAAAAAGCGCGCGTGCCAGAAATATGTAAATAAATATTTAAATAAATATGGCTTCACTTTTTCGTTTGCTTAGCCGAGCAACTACAAAACTTCAAGCAGTTTTTAAAAAACAATACATTTTTAATAAACACAATACTTATCTGCAAGAATTTGTGTACAAAGGTCCTTTTCCCGTGGAAAAGCTTGGTCGGAATTGCTTATCAGTCGAATTAACTCACGAAAGAGATCGGTACACGAAAACACGGCAAAATCTGTCGCTTTTCGGTCTACTTACAGCTGCAGTGTTTTCACTAGCGCTTACCAACCACACTGTAGAGGCAGGGAAAAATGATGAAACACCTGAGGCTAAAAACTGTACAGCTTCCTTCAGAAAAAAATGAAATTTTCGACGAAGGAAAGTACACAAATACGAACCGAAAAATTACAAAAAATGAACGCTGGTCTAGCAAAACGAAAACTATGCTTTGAGAATTTGGACAACCGCACAGAGGAACAGGATATATGTAGAAAGAAAAGGATGACACGTAGTATGGAGGTGAAAATTTATACAGTAAATCACAAATTAATATTTTAATATGCTTTGATGTTACTCTGAGTGTGAATCCACACCGGGCAGGCTTGAAAAATGTGCCTGGCAACGGTGGGAATTTTTCAAGGCCATTTTGAAGGCCTGGCAAGGGAATTTTGCAAGGCATATTTATCAAGCCTGCCCGGTGTGGATACACATGCACTCAGAGTAACATCAAAGCATCTTATTCACCTGAGTACACAACATCAACACAACAAATATCATATTTTAATGTTCATGCATGCCATCAGGCATCATCCACATGCCTGCTAAGATGACTAAATTATACTTACAGCTACTAGTATAATAAGAGATAATGACCAAGTTATCATTTATAGAAACATGCAAAAAGCATAGAAATCCTGAGTGGCTGCAGAATTGTGGATTTGGACATCCTTCATAACACACTTTCATCATGCAAGCACTGTTTAAGAGGTGTGTTTGAATTATATGAGTTTCATAACATAAAATTTCCACATGAATAACATAACAATTTGACTCAACCAATGTTTTTCATTACCACATGTGTAGGTCCTTTATCACTTGACAATGTTATGCAGGAAAAAAGAATTGGTCTAGCAAGTTGCCTATATGTAGAATGCCATTACTGTGGAAGGCCAAACATAATCAGCACTTCAGATAAACACCGCACAGGAAAGTATGGTCCATTAACATATGATATAAATTCTCGGGTAGCACTTGGTGCACTGCATGTTGGAATAGGTCAAACACATGTTAACAATTTCCTCACATCCATAAATATTCCACCTTTGAACAATGTCACATTCAAAAAGAAAGAACGGGAAGTTGGGCGTGCTATTGAATCACTTGCTTCAACCAGCTGTAAAGAAAATCTACAAAAAGAAAAAGAAAATGCAATTTCAAATAACATACAGGCAGATAGCAATGGGCTGATTGGGTTCCCAGTGTCATATGACATGGGTTGGCAAAAACGGGGAAAGGGGCACAATTCTCTGACAGGACAAGGCGCAGCCATGGGACTGACAACAGGGAATGTCCTAGCATATTCAACAAGGTGTAAACAATGTAGAATTTGTGATCATGCAAAGAAGGAGGGAAAATCAGTAAGAACACATGACTGTAGAAAAAACCACACTGGGTCATCTAAGTCAATGGAATCAAGTGTTGCCTGTGAGCTTTGGAATGATGCACCAAAAGACCATGTGAAGTTCTCAACCTATGTTGGTGATGATGACACAACAACACTATCGCATCTCACTGAAAATGTTCCCTATGGGGTGGAAAAATGGTCAGACATAATACATGCAAAAAGATCACTTGCAACTAGGCTGTATAATCTTTCATCTAGCAGCAAATTCCAAGACTCCTCTGTTTTAAGTCAAAAAGTAATTAACTATTTGACAAAGTGTTTTTCATACTGCATTGCACAAAACTCCAATGCAGATAATTTGAAATTGGCACTAAAATGCATTGTGCCTCATGCTTTTGGTGAGCATCAACTTTGCAATGACTCTTGGTGTGGTTACAAGAAAGATCCGTCAACATACAAACACCACAGTCTTCCAAATGGTAAAGATTTACATGGTGCAAATCTAAAACAAGCATTATCCAGGTTGTTTGAGGAATATGCCACTGATATTGTAGTGAAAAAGCTAGTACCATTTGCAAATTCTCAAAGAAATGAGTCATTTAACAATATTGTCAGCAGCAAAAATCCTAAGACACATTTTTATGGAGGCAGTGAGAGCAATGATTATAGAGTTGCATGTGCAGTTGCACAAAAAAACATTGGTTATTTGTATGTGTCAAGGACATTGCAAGCTCTTGGTATAGATCCTGGAGAAAATTGCATTGCACATGGCATAGTGATGGATAAAAAACATGCTAGTGATATGGTTAGAAAATCAAAAAAAGAATTCAAGGTAAGAAGGCACCAATTGCAAACCCAAAGACTGTCTAAGAATACAAAACGAGAGGCCAAGGAAGGACAAACATATCAAACAGGGATTGGCTTAAATTTAGATACTTCAGGAAAGAAAGAAAACAAAAAACAAACAAAGGGTACTCTCACTGTTCTGGGAGTCGACCCATCGAAAATAACAATGGAGGAACGTTTAGAATTTGAAAAACTGGTTCCCAGATTTACTCAAAGGCCTACCAAACTAAGTCAGCGTTTTGATTCATCTGTGGCATACAATTTTATATTTTTTGACCTGGAAACCACTGCAACTGGAAGGACTGCTGAGATTTGCCAGCTATCAGCAAAAAGTCAAAATGGGAATGCATTATCAAAGTACATTCTTCCAGCAAGAGATATCAGCCCAGGGGCATCCAGAGTAAATGATTTAACTGTTCAGTATATACATGGTAAAAGAGTTTTATGCAAAAATGCTTACCCGGTTAATTCTGTTTCACTTGGCGATGCTCTTTCATCATTTGTCGAATTCATTCGCTGTTGTATAAACACTGTGGTTGTTCCAAACAGCAAAACAATACTCCTTGGCCATAACTCATCAACATTCGACATCCCAACACTTTTCCGTAGCTCTGATAACTCGTTCAAAGACCAGCTTACTGAAATGAATGTCTACTTAGGGGACACACTGCCACTAACACGATCATTGATCAAGAACAAACATGCATCGTTAAAGCAAGAAAATGGTGAATTTTGCAAGGCAAATTTATGTAGCCTTTACGAGTGTTTGTTCAAAAAAGAATTCGCTGCCCATGACGCTTTAGAGGATGTCACTGCCCATGGAAGATTTTCTTGGGACCAGAAATTGATATCAACACCGAAACATTGATCAATGGGTGTGGGATTCACACAGTTCGAGAAGCACAAGCTGATCTTGTTTACATAGACGACCGCAACAACTTGCTCGAAACGCACAAGGGCAACATTTTCTGTCCAGATGACAAGCAATCCAGTGCCATATCTCACGGAATAGCATTAAAAATTGCTGGATGTGGAATTTCATACAATAATCTGTGTTCTTTATACAAAAAATTCGGTGAAACTGGTGTTGTTGCCATACTGCAGAGCCTTCCTCCAACACATGACGAAACGGAAGGGAAAAGTCCACGAGTAACAAAGACTACAAGAGTACTTCAAAGCATCCTTGGCTTTTTAAAAGCAAATGCAAGTACCACAAACTAAACACAAAGGTAGATCAATGGATTTCTATGCATTCTGCTGATTTTGTAGGATAAAATTCAAAGTAGTTTTGAATATATGATGCCGATTCAGAGCCGATTTGTAAACATAAAATACAAGCTCGTTTTAAAACTCAGCCTCGTTCTGATTTCGTCGTGAACACGCGTGTTTAGTTATATACGCCCGCATTTTTTATGTACGCGCATGTCAATTCATTGATCTTGCAATGAGCGAGCGAGTGAGATACCACAATAAAACGGCGTAATTCAAAATTTTGCACGGTGACATATGATGAAATTTTGCACAACGATAACTTCTTTTAAAACAAATAGAATATCAAAATTTTAAAAAAATCTGTAGATTGGAAAACTGTAAATCCGCAATTTTTTATTCTGGCTATTCTAATCTACAGAATTTTTTTATTTTCAAGCATAAGATTCCGCATTAAAAGTAAAAGCTACACAGCAGTTAAAAATGGGGTGTCACCGGCAATATTCGGAAAATAAAGAATAAAAACCTGCTTAAAATAGGAAAAAATACCATATTTGGCGAGACTACTGTTACCATGGAAACAATATTATGTTCAAGAATAGTGCAAATCTTTCCTACCAAATACTTAATTTATACTCAGGAATGCTTAAAATTAATAGGTGAAGTGATAAAATTAAAATTATAAATTGACATTTTTACGCAATAAGGGATTTATACTACGGAACTGTATGGAGCCACCTTAAGATAACCGAGTCAGATCATAAGAAAGCTTATTAAGAACACTTGAAGGAAAAAAACTTTTTGAATAGTTGTGATACATTTTACCATAAAAATATATTCTTATCAAATATGCGGTCGTTATATACGTTGCTATGTATTTCCAGTCATTAGCGACGCTTGGGTGCATGCATATATTAACGTACAAAATATTTGTACACTAATCGGGCGGGCGGGTTAAACAAATCGCGCCGGCGGGCGAGTTAGGCAAATCGCGCGGACGGTAAAGAGCGGGCTTTGCAGGCAAAAGTTTGCACAAGATTTCAGTTTTAAAATACATTTATTTCTTCAAAACTTTATACAAAATTTAGTACTGTCTACTCCTAAGAGCATAACGTTTGGGTGTTTTTATTTATTTTTAAAGATTTCTCGTATTTTTGTCTATCTTTAGGGGATAACTTTGCTACTTGCTCGGGTTTCATAGGAATATATTTTGGTCTAATAGGAATATATTTTGATCACCGTACCCCTGATGAAGACACTAGACAGGAGTGTCGAAACGTTGGGTCTTGATTACAATTCGACTGAGCTTTCAGAGTAGCGACCGAAACATGATATTTTGGTCTGTCGCAATAAAACATATTTTAAACTTTGGAAATGTTGTGTAGTTAGTAGTATAGAGAAGGGGGTTTCTGGGACGGGCGGTGCGGGCGGTGCACTTAGCACCGCCCATGACGTCATCATTTCTTAACTATTTTAATTTATTCAGATTCACGTTAATTTATTTGAGCTCACTTGATGTTTTTGAACCGCTGCCGTTTGTTTATCTACAGTTTTAGCTTGTTTGTTTATCTACAGCTTTTTTTAGTTTAATTTTAGCTACTGTGATGCCGTTTGTTTATCTACAGAGTACAGTTTATATTTGTGGCTACTTCGTTGGTCTACAGTTTTATTTCTGCCTACTTCGTTGCCGTTTGTTTATCTACAGTTCCTTAAACACCATCCTTGGTTTTCCCTAGGGATGTATTGACCATTAGGAGGACTATTAAACAAGGAATAATAAAAATCCAGACATACATATGAAATTTTTTAATCAGAACTAAGCAGTTGCTAAGCCCAAGTTAAAATCGTTGTCAGCGCCGTTGTTATGATCGATATTTGCATATTACAGAGCCATTAAAAAGTGATTAACCCGCCCACCTCATCTGGATATTTCACCCAGTGAACTTGAAAGAGAAAAAATTGTAGCGAACAGAGAGTTATTACAGGTTATATACAAGATATATTGAAATTTTGTCGTTTGTGGCTCTCTAATACGTATACCGGCAAAGTCATTAATAGTCATTAATCGATTACAAGCAAAATTTTAATCTCTTAAGTGCTTATCATGGATAGATAGGAATTATTTGTTACCTTAAAGTCAGGCTCGTTGCTTTGCGGGCCTAAATTTGCGCACGAATTTAGATTTAAAACACATTTATTTCTTCAAAATGTTTACAAAGATATGTTTCTAATATATTTCGTCACTTGTTTGAGACGTTGCACTATCCGATTCGTCATCGTGGCAGCTTTCATCATTGTGGCGGCTTTCATCATCCGAGATATTGATATCCTAAGATACTGTGTGATATCCTAAGATACTGTGTGATATCCTAAGATTATCACTCTAGATAGTTCATATCACTCTAGATAGTTCATAGTCCTGACTATAGTCATGACTATTCAGACTATAGTCATAACTATTAAGACTATAGTCTTATTGAAGCTTTACAGAAGCTTCACAGAAGCTTTACAGAAGCTTTACAGAAGCTTCACAGAAGCTTTCCTAAGATATTGATATCCTAAGATATTGATATCCTAAGATATTGATATCCTAAGATACTGATATCCTGAGATATTGATATCCTAAGATAAGATAAGGGTTCTGGCGCGGGTGGAGCGGGTGGAGCACTAAAGCTCCATCCATTACGTCGTCAGGATATCACTTCATACCAATTATACGCGCTTACAATGTTTTCAAACGAGCATAAACCAATGATTACCAGCATTTTAAGAACATTTTTACAGTTTAATACTTTGCTAATATTTATACCCACATATATTTCTTCTAACAAACTGAGTGAATTTTAACACGTTCTCGTTATATATTCTACTAGAGTTCTTGTAATGCTTGTGGAACGTAGACACTGTATTTATACGCATGCGCAGTGAGAATTGTATATTACGAAAATTACTGACTTATAGGACTTTGCGAATATTCCGGGGGGAATTCTGCAGAGAATATTCCAGTTTATTCAAAATTCCCAAAAATCATAAACGACTATAGAAATAGAGTATAAAAGATGTATTTGAAATCGTATTACAAGGTTTTATTTGATAATCTTAGAGTGCCCACCACTTTAACTCCATCGTCGGTTTACCCTGGAGATACACATTCACCATGCTCAGGACTATTAAACAAAGGATAATAAAAATCCAGACATGCATATGAAAATTTTTGAACAGAACTAAGCAGTTGCTAAGCCCAAGTTAACATGCTTATCAACGCCGTTGTTATGGTCGATATTTGCATTTCACAGAGTCATTAAAAAGTGATTAAAAACCCACATTTCACACAGCGAGCCCGAGACGGAAAAATTCTAACGAACAGGGAGTCATTAGAGATTATGTGCAAGATATATCGAAATTTTGTCGTTTGTGCGTCTTTAAAACATATACCGCCAAAGTCGTTAACAGTCATTAATGGATTACAAAATAAAGTATAATCTCTTAAGTCTTATTATGGATAGATAGGGATTATTTATTACCTTAAAATCGGGCGTATGGCTTTGCGGGCATCGAGGGATTATAGCGAATAGATTTATTACGCGGGCGTAGACCATAAAATAGGGCGCGCGGCATTGCCAGCGTACCTCCGAGCCTAGTCTAAATAGCTCGGAGCCTGGCTCGGAGCCGAGCTCCATAGGCTCGGAGCTGAACTCCATAAGCTCGGAGACGAGCTCCATAAGCTCGGAGCCGAGCTCCATAGGCTCGGAGCCGAGCTCCATGGGCTCGGAGCCGAGCTCCATAGGCTCGGAGCCGAACTTCATATGCTCGGAGTCCAGCTCCATAGGCTTGGAGTCGAGCTTCATAGGCTCGGAGCCAAGCTCCATAGGCTCGAGCTCTCAATAGCTCGGAGCCGCTCTGTATATCTCGGAACAGAGCTCTCAATAGCTCGGAGCCACAACAAATAGCGTGGAGCGAGCTCCGTTTGAATATTCGAGTCCTAGATTGAGTCATTAATTGAATCCTAAGATTGAATCATTCAATCCTAGATTGAATCACTGAATCCTAGATTGAACCATTGAATCCTAAGATTAAATCATTGAATCCTAAGATCGAATCATTGAATCTTAAGATTGAATCATTGAATCCTAAGATTGAATCATTGAATCCTAGATTGGAATCATTGAATCCTAAGATTGAATCATTGAATCCTAAGATTGAATCATTGAATCCTAAGTTGGAATCATTGAATCCTAAGATTGAATCATTGCATTCTAAGATTCAATCTTAGGATTCAATGATTCAATCTAGGATTCAATGATCCAATCTAGGATTCAATGATTCAATCTTAGGATTCAATGATTCAATCTTAGGATTCAATGATTCGATCTTAGGATTCAATGATTTAATCCTAGGATTCAATGATTCAATCTAGGATTCAGTGATTTAATCTAGGATTCAATTATTCAATCTTAGGATTCAATTAATGACTCAATCTAGGACTCGATTATTCAAGCGGAGCTCGCTCCACGCTATTTGTTGTGGCTCCGAGCTATTGAGAGCTCTGTTCCGAGATATATAGAGCGCCTCCGAGCTATTGAGAGCTCGAGCCTATGGAGCTCGGCTCCGAGCCTATGAAGCTCGGCTCCAAGCCTATGGAGCTAGACTCCGAGCATA